GCAGGCAGAGAGCAGGACCATGAGACAAGGCAGAAGGAGAGAGAGAAGCCATTTGATGCCTTCTCAAAAGGGGCCTGATTTAAGGCTGTTGTCATTATTGACCATTCAGTTTAGAAGTTTGTCAAGCATCACATTCAAACCAAACGAAGTCAACCCTTCTGGCCAGGCTGCTGGAATGGGGAACAATTCCTGGGCCAGGAGAAATCACTTCAGAATGGAGCACAGGGACAGAGTGGTCTTTGAGCTTTAGCTCAGCTCCAGACAAGTCCCAGAGGTGCTGTTTTGGTTAATCTACTGCAAAACATTCTGCAGAGTTTTATTTGGCTTAAAAGTAGTGTGCTGGGACTGAACTTAAACTAGTTCTTAAATCACAAATATGAAGGTCCAGAGGGCTATGCAATAATTTACAACCATATCCCTCAGGGATTCACAGCTGGGCATGAAATCCCCAGAGGCCCAAATCCAGCACTTGGTAAGGACTTCGGAAACAACACAGATTACTGTAGTTGGCAAAGGCATGGACCTGAAACTTCCCATTCCTTTGGGTGGGAAAACTTGTACCAGCTGGGAGAGAGCTAGGCACTACATAGCTCCCAAAATTTCTGGCACACAAATCCTTCCAAAGGAAGACATTTCATTCCATAATCTGGCACGCTTGACTTTTGTACAGAGAAAAATGAGCCTGCCAACCATTCCTGACCTTCTCCTTCCCACTATGGAACACCTCTATGCATCTGTGTTTTAAAATGCAAGACAAAATAAATCCGACATATCTGCAGCATCTTAAAATATCCTTTTCTTGGATGAAACCTTGCTTTTTCAGAAGCATTTGTGTTCATCTTTGAGTCTTATAAAGCACCATTTTACTGTCTTTGCAATCATGAGGGCACAAGTCTCTACCCAAGTATTTCTCCACAAAACTGCATCTTAAACTTGTCATACACAAAGCTACACTTTCTCAGAATAAGCTAAGTTTTGACCCAGATTCTAGAGAATAAGTATCTTATTGACAGAAGTGATTTTTAAATAACATAAATTTAATCTTTGACTTAAACAATGCTTACCTCTGATCACAGATAACAAGCAGAAAAAGGATATTAAAGGAAATTATGTAAACTAGCTTGTGAGGAAAGCTAAAAAAAAGACCTTTGTCCTTACTCCATCATTCTTGTGCAAAGGACCGCAAACCTAAGCTTGGATTCCAATGAAAACATGGAGGTTGAGATTTGCAAAGCAGTAGAAGAGGTGAATAAAATGAGCAAAGAAGAAGGACTTATGGAGTAAAGAGTGTATTTCACTACAGCACATTTCTCCAGGAATCAGGAAACCTATAAGGCTCCAAGCCATCCAAAAAAACCCTGGAGGAGGATGTGAAATCCCAGGGCCATGTGCTACTGATAAGCTTCAAAGTCAAGGACAGGCACCACAGGACCCACATCCTGCACTCACTCCATACAAACCTTTTGCTAGCGGTACTATTCCCAGGGACTTCTGGAGACTGGAAATAGATGTTCTGCAGCTTTCAAACTAGGGAGGAGGTTTGAGCTTGCCACTTAATAGTGAAGCATGAAATCCCAGATATACAAAGGAAATTAATCGCAGAATGGTTTGGTTTGGAAGGGACCTTGATAACCATCTAGTTCCAATTCCCTGCTGTGGGGGATTATTTATCATGTACATTGCCATTACCAAATATTGGTAATTCTGCAAAACAACAGTGTACATGGGAAAAAATCTGCCAAGGGCTGCTCAAGTCGAGCTGATGTCTCTGGGAGAGACTGCATGACACTGGAATCCCACGGGAAGGCAGGGATACCGGGAGCCGAGGCGTAGGGAAGGCAGGGGATGGGGGAAGCAGCCGCGAATCGGCTGTCAGGCTTGCGGAGAAGGCATGGGGCAGCCGCAGCTGGCGGAGGGCTTAACCGGAGGGCGGCTCGGCGGCAGGTGGGACCCGGGGCTGTAACACCCGCGAAAAGTTTCACGAACCCGGTGCGGTTCTCAGTGCGAACGGGGCCGCTAGGCTGGGGACTCGTCCGGCCCGTGGCACTCCTACACACACAGAGGCACACACCCACACACATCCACACACACACCACCCCCCTCCCACGCCGTCCCCACCCGAGACAAAGGCCGGCCCCGCCGCCCCCCACGCTGACAGGCCGGTCCGGCCTGGCTCCGCCGCACGTGGGCCGCCCTGCCGAACTTTGTTTGTCCCGGCGCCGCCGGGCCGGGCCGGGCCGAGCCGGGCCGGGGTGGGGCGCCGCGGGCACCGCAGCCGACCCGGGGCAGGGACCTGAAGAACGCGGAGAGGTGGCGGCCTGCGGGCCGGAAGAGCCGGTGCGAGCGCACAGCGCTCGGTGCGCCGGCGGCGGGGCCGCCCGCCCTGCCCGCGGGGCGGCAGCACCGCCCGGCCGCGGGGCCGGCGGGAGGGAGGGAGCGCGAGAGGGCGGAGGGCAGCGGGAGGGGCGGGCCCGGCACGGCCGGGCCCGGGCGGGCGGGCAGGACTCACCCACACAGGCAGCTCCTCCGGGCCCACCGGGCCCCTGCAGCCTCACCCCACACCGGGCACCAACGGCCGCAACATGGCGGCGGCGGCAGCGGGTGGGGCTGGGGGTGGGGCCTGGGGCGGGGCGGGAGCAGCGGAACCGCCTTCCCTTCCCTTCCCTTCCCTTCCCTTCCCTTCCCTTCCCTTCCCTTCCCTTCCCTTCCACAGGGACTCGCCACCCCGGGGCTCGGGCTCCGCCTCCGCTCGCCCTCCGGGAGGCTCCTAACAGAGACATCCACAGGCCCGGCCCGGTCCCGCCGCCCCTTCAGCCGCCGGGGTCCCACGCTCCCGCTGTTCTAAGGTTTCCTCACCAAAATCTGCCCCGCGTACAGCTCCCGCTTCAGTCTCCACTCCGTGTCTTCAACTCCTTCCTCGCTGCGTCCCACTCCCATCCTGATGCGGTTTACTCACTGTTACACTGATGGACCCACTGATTTCTCATAAAGGCGAGAGCGAAGATGTGTGGAGCTCCAGGCTGGTGAGCCTCACCCTGATCCCTGGGAAGGCGACAGAGCCAATAACCCCTGGAGCCGTTTCCAAACACAGCGAGGACAAGGAGGTGTCTGGGTTCTGCCAGCACAGGTTAAAAAGGAATTACATCCCTGATAGCCTGATGCCTTCTACATCGAAACTTTTAGAACGATAAATTTAGATTAGAGGTTCGGGAGACGTGGAGACATTCTTTCCTGTGAGAGCAGTGAGGCCTTCTTGGTTGTCCAAAGAAGCTGTGCCTATCCCATCCCTGGAAGTGTCCAAGGCCATGTTGGGTGGGCCTTAGAGCAACCTGGTCTAGTGGAAGGTGTATCTGCCTATGGCAGGGTCTGGAACAGGATGAACTTTAAGGCCCTTTCCAAACCAAACTGTTTCCATGGCAAGTTCAGGGGATGAGGAGAGAGCGGTGGTTATTGTTTGTTCTCCATTCATGTCCCGTTCTGGGCTCCTCAGCACAAGAGAGACATAGACATACTGGAGAGTCCAGCGAGGTGCCATGGAGATGATGAAGTGGTTGAAGCACCTCCCCTGAAAGGAAAGGCTGAGAGAGCTGAGGCCGTTCATCCTAGGGAAGAGTAGACTCAGGGAGGGCTCATCAATGTCTACAAGTACCTGCAGGGAGGGTGCAAAGAGGAAGGAGCCAGCTTCTTCCCAGTGATGCCCAGTGCCAGGACTGGATGCCATGGGCATACACTGATCCACATCAGGAAATACTTTTTCCCTGTGATGGTAACCACAGGCTGGCACAGGTTGCCTATGGAGGCTGTGGAGTCTCTGTCCTTGGAGGTGTTCAAAACCAGTCAGGATTTTCTGAGAAGCCAGCATTAGCTGGCCCAGATTGAGGCTGGACCAGATGACCTCAGGAGTTCTTTTCCGACTTCAAGTACTCTGGGATGCTGTGAAGCATTTTCTATCGAGGTGTGGATATGCACACTCCTATCATAATAAATAAACGGTATTTCTTGAGGCTGTTTTCCCGGGAACTGCCATTTTAACCATCTACCCCCAGTACCAGGTGTACAGCATTGCTCATACTACATTTGTTTCTCATCTAGTTAAATAATTATTTTTTCTTTGTCACCATGGGCAAAAAAATATCTTTTTTTCTAACTGACACATATAGCTTCATATCCTTGATTTCTGAATCAATGTCATCACTTTCCTCCTTTTGGAGGCGATAGCCAGTTTCCAAAATCGAGCAAAAGGACAAAGGGTCACAAAGAGAAAACATTTTCAAAATTGCAACTGTTGCCTCTAATTTTAGAACATGTCTATGAAAACCTCTAAATTGTATCTAGTAAGAGAGCTGACATTTGTTACACAATTTACTAAGAGCTGTCACCGTTCTGAACAAGTCGTAGCTTATCGGAAAGCTGTGGTAATTTGAAGGGTTGTGGTAATTAAGAAATGTAATACCAATAGGAATTTAGCTCCATCCCTCAGATGGCTGAGGAGAAACAGCCCTGGAGTGGCTGGGGTCGCTTCCTCAAGACAGCAGATACATAAAACCCTCTAATTTGAGTCTATGTCTTTCAGCATGACCTAAAAATCATATTCCTTTTCTTATTTTTAGTCCACCGTGGTGATTTGACAAATCTGGAAGCACAACATCTTTCTTCCCTTTGCTTTTCTTTTAAGGTTTAAATTTGTCCCTTAGGGCTTGTTTTGTAAAGGTTGTGGAATCCCCACCCCTGGAAGTGTCCAAGGCTGGACAGGTCTTGGAGCACTCTGATCTAGCAGAAGGTGCTCCTGTCCATGCAGGGGTGTGGGACAGGATGAACTTTAAAGTCCCTCCAACCCAAACCAATCTCGGATTCTGTGATTTGATGTGGAAAAGACAAAAGCTATTGATCTAAGGAGACGATGTACAGAGCAGCACTCTGCACTTGGGATATGCTTACGCCTGAGCAGGGAGCAACATTGGTGGGACCCGCTGGTGGCACCTCAGAGAGGGAAGCCCCTGGATGAAATACTCTTAAGCTACGTGCAGCTACATGTGAGAGCTTAACTTTTAATTCTTAACCTGCTTGGGGTTGTCGGTGACTGCTTTTGAGCTGGAGGAAATGGTTCTTCCCAGGTGCTAGTGTGTTGAAAAGGATATGGAGGCAGGCAGGCTGGCAAGGACAGTGAGACCCATTTTATTTTTAATAACAAACATCACCAAGTCCTGAGCATTCATGTCTAAGCAACTGTCAGTTTTCACATCAGCAATTCATTTGTTTTTGCCAGAGGTCTATATTGTAGTGAATTACCTTGAGCTGGTTGCAAAATTTGCATGTTACAAAACTATAATTAATATTTCAGAAACTTCAGGAAAGATTTGTTATTGGCAGGGTGAGTATGAATCCCCAGACACAAACATTCCTCTAAGATAACACCGTAGTCCTTGGTGTTATCTACACACACACACACAAAAGTGGTGTAACTTAAATCAGGGTAATTAATTACACAGGTGTCTTCTGTATACATTTAAAACCATTTATACTTATCAATTTGACTTTTTGATCTCCCTCACTCCCAGGGCCTGCCCTCTTCATTGCCTCAAACCGTTTTTTTTCCATGTTTTTCCTTATTGACACAACTATTGATGAGCCAATGCATCTCTTCTATAGAGATCCCTCTTTACAACCACTGATCCACCATAAACACAGGAAAACCTGCCTCTGCTCCACATTCATGCTCACTCAGCACAACATGTAGTGGTTGTGATACTTTCTTGCAGTGATAGAGCCCTGACCTTAAATTCCTGAGTGAAATCTAAGAGAACAAAGCCATATATCCCAGCGAGTTTGGGAACAGGAGTAAGAACCTTAATGAGGCAAAATCCCAATAGAGAAGGACTGCTTCATATCCTGACATGCTTCTATATCCAATTTGTTGGAATTTGGTGGATTCCCATTTGGAGACATGGTGAGATAGATGGATTTCTTGCAGGGAAGTTGCAGTCAAACCCTGCTGAAATGCCAAGAATGCCCATTGCCTGTATCAGCTTTTTCTGGTGCAATACCAAACCCATTCTACTACTCAACCAGGAGACTGGGAGAATAACTTCCAAACAGCCAGTTTTCTTCACCCACGAGAACTGCAGGCTCCAGTGCACTACAGACATGCTCCGAGCTCTGAACAAGCAAGGACCCTTTGTGCAATCCTCTAAGCAGACCCCTGGGCTCCGTGTTGCTCTGCCTGAGTAGAGCTGATGTGACCATTTGAGGGGTTCCTCATGACTGCCGAACACGAGTGGGATTCACAGTGACTCCCCTCCTTCTCCAGCTGCCTCTGAACAACTCACTCCCACACTCCAGCCTATGGCAAGAGAACCTTCTCAAGATTCTCTTCTGATGAAGTGACATCTCCTGTGGCTGCAGTGTTGGGCCTGGCCCTGGGTCTGCAGTGGCTGGGGAACACCATGGTTTCCCCATACATTTCCCAGGGTGACAAGGGTTTGAGCTGTTCTTGCCTTTGTGTCTCCACTTGACCCATGCAATGGCAGTGGGATGGCTCTGTGAACCAGAGAGAACTGATCCAGGCTTGTACACTTTTTCAGGGAAGAAATTAAACTTTGAATCATCCCTCATCATGGAATCATAGACTCATTTCAGCTGGAAAAGCCCTCTAAGATCATTGAGCTAAACCATTAATGCAGCACTGCCATATTCACCATTAAACCATGTCCCCAAGTACCACATCCACTTGTGTTTTAAATTCCTCCTTGTGAAAGTGGATCTGGTGGGGATGGACAGGGAACTACCTTCACCTACATATGCAGAGAGCTTTAACCTCAGACCCTGTGGGACACCTAGGAGAGAGGACATCTTTTAAATCATGGCAAGAGAATTGAAAGAATTGGGGACTAATATGTTAACCCCTTCATTACAAATAAGGTGATGTTCTTAGTTTCCATATATGGTTGGCTGACTGCCAGTTGTCAATTAGTTCTGTTTCTTATCCTCGTTATCGATTGGATCCTGTGGCCTCCACTCCACCCTATCCATCGTTGTAATTCCTGGGTTCCGGGTTCCAGGTTCTTTGGAGGTTGCCACTCATACCATGAGGTTTCTATGTTTGTTTTTTCATCCATTAAAGTTCCTTATTTTTCGGGCAACTCCATCATTCCTGCTCCTCTATTTATACCATGGATTTCCTGGCTGGACTGGTCCCAGTGTTGCTGCCACATTGGGTAGTGATACCTCCAGGGGTGGAGACTCCACCACTGCCCTAGACACTTGTGCCAGTGCCTGCCTGAAGATCCTTTCGGTGAAGAAAATTTCCTTAATATCCAACCTAAACTTTCCCTAATGTAACTCAAAGCCATTTCCTCTTGTCATCCTGGCAGCAGAGCCCATCCCCACCTGGCTGCACCCTCCTGTCAGGGAGTTGTGCAGAGCCAGAAGGTCCCCACGGAGCCTCCTTTCCTCCAGGCTGAGCCTCCCCAGCTCCTGCAGCTGCTCCAGGTGTTCTAGCCCCTTCCCCAGCTCCATCCCCTTCTCGGGATATGCTCCATCCCATCAATGTCTTTCTTGTCATGAGAGGCCCAGAACTGCCCTCAGGATTCAAGTTCAGCTTACACATAGCCTGACAAGTGATTGTGTGGGCAAAAATGAAGACTGAGGTACTTGACTCCCCGGTGGGATCCAGCTGGAGGGAGAGCTGCTGAGGTAGAGTGACTAGCAGCATTGAGCCACAGCCCACATTGCTCCTGGAAACTCTCGTGAACTTTGGTAAAAAGTTTAAATAAAGCTTGAGAAAATTGCAGGAAAAATAATTCCGTAAGGGCTCTCTGTCTTAAACTGTCAGTAGCACACTCCAAGCAGTATCAGTGCAGTTGTATCTTTAAAAACTTCCCCAAGAAAGCTCAAGAAATTGCTTTGCACACTCACAAGAAGAGGGATAGGACTGTAGATGTTGGCACAAGGTCAATACATGGTACAGGTGTAGCTGAGGGGTGAGTGGGATGTTTTTCCCAAAAGGAGGAACAGGCAGCCAACACAACCATGTTTAAGGTAAGGTAGGAAAGAAGAGGTCAGTAGATTAAATTATCCTGCTTCAAATTATCTCACAGAGTTAGGATAGGCATTTAGGAGAATATATGAATATGTTTCCAGATGTTAAACAAAGATTAGGGGCAACATAGCCCCTAAACAAGGGGCTAATTTAGAGAAGCTAGTTCCACTACTAGAGTAAGGATAAAATAACTCAGAAATGAGGGCATCTGGTGCACAGGCCCCTTCTCCTCCCCACACTGCCCCCCAACCATGCCACTTCTACCCTAGCCCTTACATACTGAATTACCCTTCTTCATGCTTCTGGTTGTTGAAATTACCTCTGGCACTTTCCCAGGTGCTCACAAGGAGCCCTGCTGATCCTCCCAATGGCGTAGTGAAAAGGCCATGGGGGACTGTGAGGCATCTGAGCAATTTAATATGCAGCTGGGTGCAAGTGGGGTGGGTCCAGCCCCAGGCAGGGTGGCACATGCTGAGGCTTTACCCCAGAAGCTGTGCTGAATAGCACGATTTCAAATTGTTCCCAATCTGGGGCAGAGGCTTTTCTTCATAACCAGGGACAAGAGGATAACTAGGAACCAGAGGGTTTTTCTTCTTGCTCTCCAAACCTTCAAGTTTCTAGGACTCCCACATGTGAGGCAAAAAATCTTCTGTGTTTGACTTCCACCCTGCCATATTAATATCACATTAATGTCATACTAATGGCATACTAATGCATTTGGATCAGGAGCTGGAATCCACCTGCATGGTGCCACAATGCATGTCCCGTGAGGAAGTCAGGGTGTGCTCCAGGGCACTCTATTGCTCTCACTCCCTGGGTAATGCTTCCACCAAGCTCTCAGTCAAGGGAAAGACCAGCACCTTGGAAAAACTGCTAATCTTTCAATTTGGCTTCAATTTTGTTAACACAAATGTCTTGCCTTCAACTTTGTGTCTTGCATTGTTTCACACGAGGGCAGAGGCCCCCATATCTACTGCAGGAGGATAAATGTAGACAAGTCAGTGCAGCTTCAGCCTCCTGTATCCCCTGTGCCTCCTGCATCTTCTCTCCCTCCTGTGTTGCCTCTCATTCCTGCCTTGCTTTTGGCCCTTGTAACACCTTTAGTTCTGCATCCTCTGCCTAATGGGGCAGCCCATACTGATGTCACACAGGACACAGTTCCATGCCCCTGTGAAAGACTTACTGGAGACTGGCTGGTATTAATCAGCAGGAATTACTCTCCTGGAGAGGTCACAGCTGTCAGCCACATGTTGTGGGGCTGCAGATCCTGAGAAGCAGAATTAGATGCAATACCAATTTTCTAAGAGTTAGAAAGTCATAGAATCCCAGAATGGTTTGGAAGGACCTTAAAGCTCATTTTGCTCCACTCACTGTCACAGGCAGGGACACCTTCCACTAGACCAAGTTGCTCCAAGTCCCATCAGCACACAGGGTATCATAAGAAGTGCAGGGTTCTGAATACTTTTTATTCAAACCGAGCTTTGAGAGAAAGGAAAAAAGATAGGAAACTATAAGGGGGTATGACAAATGGACTTTCCAGGAAAAAAATAACAAAAAGAAAACAATTGTAAGATTTGTTAAGAATAAAATTATTTTTATGCCTTACAAACATGACAGACGGTGCTGAGAAAGCACTGTAATAGCATAGTCAAAAGTCATCTGAAAATGAAGTTTTCAAATGTGGGCCTCCCACACTGATCCCTTTAACTGCAGACATTAGAGTCTTTCATGTCCTTTTTTTATCCTGTTAGGCATCCGTGGGGCCTCAATTAAGCTGGGCTGTCACTCAGGACACTGAACGATGGGCTCTGGTGGCTCTGATGTGTCAGTGAGAGATGTTTAACTGTAGGACAAATAAATGTCTCTGGCCTTCAAGAAACAATTTTCCAAAGGTTGAACTCGTATTGACTCATGCCAGCGCAGCAGAGAAATGTGCTCAGCACTCTCATTGCAGCCTACCTGGAAACAGCAGCATTTCCTATGAGGGAAAAGAATGGAGAGGAGCCAGGAATGAATAAGCAGCTTTATTGCATTGTGGATCATAAAACCTCTTCCTATGAAAGGGATAAGTAGGGCTTATTAATGCAGTGATGAAGTCAAAGAATAAAATCACAATGAGGTATACAGGATAAGATTATAACCTCCAGGTAGATAAGTAGGTTGAGGTAGGAAGGAAACAGGTAATAAGGGAATTGGCTTCTTTAGGAGGTAGCATGTGTCATCTTCTCCTGGAGCATCTTTCCATGTCATATAATGTCCAATGAAGAAATCTCTCCTAATATCCAACCTAAACCTCCCCTGGTGCAACTTGAAGCCATTTCCTCTGGCCCTATTGTTATATGTCACATTCCTTGAGAAGGATATGCATCACACAAGGACCTCAGAAAGAGCTTCTGCACTTCTGCCCATGACACAGGGACCATGTGTGTCTGGGACAGTCTTTTTGTTCTAACCACTGAAGTGGCCCAAACGAAGCCACTGGAGTGTGCTGATGTTCTGGGGGGTTGTGATGTTTTTCTTTATGTCCTACAGGAGGAGTTCAGATGGGCTGACTGGGCTGATGCCAAATCATGGCAATGGATGAGCATTAAACAGGGACTTACTCTGTCTCATGGAGTGTGTGTTGATTTGGCACAACCTGGTTTTTGGTCTGGGGGAGAGCCATGAGGGTAACTTCTGTGAGAGGTTGCTAGAAGCTTCCACCACATCCAACGGAGCCAGACTCGTATGGCTCGGAAGAGAGACATGATACAGGCCCAATTAGAGAGGTTGGTAACTCCTCTGTGATGACATATTTAAGAAGAAAATCAAAACGGTGCTCACAGCCTTTTTTCCAGGGATGTTGAGACACTGCAGCTGGGGGCCATCCCCGGTGCAGCACACGGTGATGCACCATGGCTGCTGCCTTTTTGGTGCAGCTTGTGACAAGCCTTGCCTGCCTGGCTGCCTCTCCTCTGCCAGCCACACCGCAGGCAAAAGGGCAGGGGCAGGGCGGTGGCTTCTCCTTCCTGGCACAGGGCGCAGCAATCTGCTGCAGCTGTGTCTTGGAGTGACTTTATAATGCTTGTATCCCCAGTCATCAATTCTGTTAATGTTGAGTATTGAGTTCTGCAGCTTTAAGACTGGTTCCAGGAGTGAAGGGGGAGAACAGAGGTGCAGAGTTTGTTATCCCAGTCTGCACTCGCTCCCCCCTCTCCTTCACACAGACTGTGCTGTCTGCAGTGGACAGCAGGAGAGAGCTCTCCTTTGCTCTTGCTTAGTTTCTGGCTAGCTGAGGCAGAGAAGCTCCCTAGACTGTGGGGTTTTTTCCTTTTTCTTGGAAATGTTCACACCTGCTCTGTACTGAAAACCCAGAGGAGCACCAGGAGTTCACACTTGTGGCCCACCAGGCCTGACCTGGGCCATGGCATTTCCCAGCTCTGGATGGACTGAGAACAGACTGAGTGAGCCAGGCTGCAACCCACAGAAGGGACTCTTCTGAATTTGCCATCTCTTTGGAGCAGCAAGAGGTTTTGCTGTTTAGTATTGTTCATTTTTGTGCTAGGAAGTGCTTTGCCTGTTAAATAAACAGGGTTTTTTTCCACTTCTCTCCAAAGAAATATTTTCCCAAACCAGTTGGGGGAAGAACTACTTAAATCTATTTTCTAAAAAAAAAAATCCCATTCAAAAGTTTCCTCCCAAATTTACCCTAAATCAAAACAGGCTGCCATCACCTCAGCGTGGCCCACAGCAAACCTTGCCTGCCTGGCCACCCCGGCCAGCTGCGCCTCAGGCAAAAGGGCAGAGCCGGCAGCAGTGGCTGCTCCTGCTGGCACACCGCATGAAAAAAGGTGTTAAAGAACGTCAGTGGCTGCCACTGCCCACGCAATGGCAGTAGGGTCACACGGCTGGCAGCAAAAACACGGTGAGTGACACCCTGACACGGAACCTAGACCGAGATCGACCTCTCGACGCAGTGAAATCCTGCAAGAATCTGAATTACTGGAACTTGTTGGCAAAGGTACCTATGAGCAACAGTTTTTCTTCTAGTCAGAGAAGAAGAGGAAGTGAAAACACATGAGGAAAACAACATGGTGACACCAAGGTCAGTGGGAAAAAGAAGAGGGAAGAGGTGCTTCAAGCGTCGGAGCTGAGATTCCTCTGCAGGCTGTGGTAAAGACTATGTTAAAACAAACTTTGCCCCGTAATGCATGAAGACCTCTAAAATCACAGGCACATTTACATTCCTCAGGATGTTTCCACAAAAAAGCAGGCAAAGGACTTTTCAGAGGATCACCTGAAAAGATGCAGAAGCCTCAAATACCTGAAGGTAAAAGCAATCATTAAAAAGGCATAAACAAAGGGCACCATGATTGTTTTGCCACATCTCCAGATTTGAAAGGAGGCTGAAATAACCTTTATATAATGCCATTAGCATTTTCCAGCAAAAAAAAAAAAAAAAGGTATTTTAGGAGGCTGAGCAATATATTTTCTTATCAACCAGAAAGGTTAGAGGTATTTATCTGATTTAATATTTTATAATTTATATGAAGTGACAGAGAAGAATAAAGCAGGCTGGCCGAGAGGTGGCTGCAGTGACAAAGCAGAAGCCACCCTCTGCTCTTCTGGCAAGGCCCAATGGCCTGGACGTGAGCCAGGTCTGAGAACAACATCCCTTGACCATCAGCTCTTCAGAAAAATGGATTTTGTGTTGTGTCCTGCTGTGATGAGGACCCCAGATGACAAAGTCAGCTGCCCCACACTTAAACGCTGTCACTTGACCCTATTTCAGTGTCACATTTGCAGGAGCTGGTGCTGTACCATTGCATTTGCAGGGAATGAAACGTCTTATAGAATCATAGGATGGTGGAATTATTAAGGTTGGAGAAGCCCTCTAAGATCATTTAGTCCAGCTGCCAGGTCCACCACTAAACCATGTCCTCAAGTGCCACATCCACATGTTTTTTTGAATGCTTCCAGGGATGGTGACTCCATCACTGCCCTGGGCAACCTGGGCAACCTTCACTTTTTCTGTGAAGAATTTTTCCCCAATATCCAATCTAAACTTTCCTGGTACAACTTCAGTCATTTTCCTCTCATCCTATCCCTTGTTCCATGAGAGCATTGCTGTACCCCCACCTGGCTGCACTGTCTTGTCTCGGAGCACAAGAAGGTCCCCTCTGAGCCTCTCTTCCTCTGGGCTGAGCCCCCTACCCAACTCCTTCAGCTGCTCCAGACCCTTTCCCAGCTCTTCTCCTGGGTCTGAGAGAGAAGATGTAAGTCTCAAAAATAGGTTCCAATTCCCTGGAGGACCCAAGGCAGTCAGCACTCATGTGGTCAGGCACCAATGTTCTCCACAATGGTGACTTTGAATCTGGAGGAGCAGCAGGTCAGGAACAGCACTCCCCGCTGGGACCCCAAACTGCCCCATCTCACATGCCCTGAGGGCAGGTGTGGAGTAGGGACCTATGGGCGCCCCACTGCTCCAGCCATGTAGTCCTTGAGTAACTATTGCCTATTTTTCATCTCTGGTAGGGAATGGAAATGAGGACGTTATTCTTTGCTGAAACATTCTGGAAAGTCACAGCTGAAATCCCTCACTTGTCTCTTCCATCTGTTTATTTTTACCACTTAATAATACATCTGTCTCGTCAACTATTCCTGACACTGTGGCAAGAAAATCCAACTCAGTGAAGTCAGTTTTATCAAAGAGACATTAGCTCTTCCTTACTGTGTGACGCCACGTCAGTTCTTCTCCTGCGCATGAAGTCTGGTCTGTAATATCAAAGTGTGTCTTCTATCTGTTTGAGGGGGTGATATGACCAATATATTTGAAATTGCTGCTTGTTATGCAAAAGGTTATCCAAACTGTGAAGATAAGAAGCAATTTCAAGCATTTCAAGGAGCCTCCTTTTTTGATGTGTTTTTCTCTTCACTGCCACATGATTACAGACCTAATTTCAAGAGATTAATAACAATGGCAAAACAGTAATTGAATTAACCTGTGATAGAGGACAGAACTCTGGGACATGAAAAGTCTGTGCTATCAATAATTTCTCACCATTAATAAGAAAATAGTGGTCTGAAAGCTTCACTGTGACACCAGACTTGCTCCTGCCTCTGCTTTCCAAAGAGGTGCCCCAGGTCTCTGCAGAGGTTCCCAAATGAAGGTCAGCAGTGTGAATCTCCTTATGAGTCATCTTGGGTTTATTAGCTTGACAGTGGATGGCTTCACTTAATTTTTTTGTTTCAAACTGTGCTCCTGGTTTCATTCCTGAACCATCCACCTGATGGGGAGGCCTGAAAGAACTGAATCTGAACCATGTGACATTTTCAAATGAATTGTTTTACCACTTTTTCCTTATTTTCTTGCCCTGCCATGAGTTTTGTTTTTTAAGTTTTGAATCCAGATAAGCTGGACCAATGTCCTTGTTTGCTTTTTGGACAGGGAGAAGGAATATTTCGCTGAAACAGAGCCTTGAAATGCCCAGTTTGGTGTTCAGAATCACTCAGAACACACACACTCTTCTGGGCGTATTCTGGTAGCACAATCATAGCACTGGTTGGGAGGGACATAATCCAACATTCTGTTGGATGCAGGACAGTTGCCAGCACTGGGAAGAGAGGAGAGCAGAGCTGTAGATGTCTCCATGTGCAAAACACGATGGATAAAGGCTGTCTGTGACACACTGGCTGTGAGAGCAGCACCTGGATTTAATGATTCCCTCCTCGCTAGTACTGAGCCCATGTCTCCTATTACTGTCTTGTGCATGGTCCTGTTGTGCTCAAAGGAAGTTGACTTCCAGTACCTGGTGTTCCAGAAGTCATCCTCAGCTAATGAAAGCAACCCTCAGCATTTCAGAAAACAGGTGATTCCCATATCATATCAGTTCACAAGATCATTCTCTTAACTCTTTGTCCACATGAAAGGCAGTGTGAACTTCTAGAGAACAAGTAACTTGCCCTTTGGGAAGCTCCTTCCTTCCCTGGGAGTGAATGGCCCTTGAATGCCTTCAGGATCTCTCCTGCCTCTATCAGAAGCTACTTCCAAAGACTAGGGAAAGAAGACCAAAACTATATTGTTGAATCTTGGACTTTCCCTGTGTGTCCCTCTACATGTTTTATTACACTGCGAGCATGTTCCATCAACAGCACCATGCACTCTGCCCTGTAATGTGGAGTAGGAAATGATCTTGCAGGTTCTGTACATCATGGAAAACCTCTTAATGTGGAAAATAAGAGTAAATTCAGATTTACTCCTGTGAAGGAGAAGGATTTTTTCCAAAAAGATGGAAAGAGTTAAGTGAGCTGGTAATGAAATTACTCAACATTGCCCCATAATGAATTTTTTCCCCCAGAAATGACTCCTGAAATGAAGGACCTGTCTTGTGTTTCTTTCTCTCTTTGGCTGAGGCTGGAGTGTGGTTGATATGAGACAAATCCACCTTTTCCTTCCTTTGATTACAAAAATGCCAACTGAATACAAACCTTCTGGAATCTGCAGCCAACAGAAGGGTGCCAGGCTGGGGTGGATCTGCCAATACACATGTAACACAACTCTTGACTGCACTTGGGCTCAGGACTTTCCAATAACAGACTGAAATGGCATTTTCAAGACTCCCTGATTTCTCTGATTTTCGCTGCCTTGTTTTCTCAATCCTTTTGGGTACACTTGCCTTGTTTTGTCAGGAACTGCCAAAACTCAGCAAAGGAGCCAAGAACTACATCCCAAATGAATTCTGTAGCAGAACATATCAGGCTGTTGTCTAAGGTCTTTCCCTTTGACATATCTGCCCTATCAGAGAGGAAAAGAAGGGCATCTATCTAAAAATAAAATTATTGAATATTTAAGTGCTGCTATTTTCGTCATATATTGCTTTAAAGCTTCAGTTCACTTGGTGCATTTTAAAGACTTGGGTGAAGCAAAGCATCGGTATTATCTACAAAAATGGTTCTAAGTGCTGTTTGTAGCCTCTAGGCACAGACTGGCTCAGACACAGAGGAAGTGGAGGGCAGTTGCTGTGGAAGGTAAGGAGGCAGAAATAGAATGTAAACTGGAGCTGATGTTTTGATCCCTCTTTGTCTGCTGCTGCCTGAGCACTCCTCCCTTTCCACCCTTCCAGCTGGCCCAGCAGGTTTTAATGAATACCAATTTTATTCTTTTAACTGTCTAGTCTCTGTTCCAGATCAGCCTCTCTAGACGTCAGATCCATAGTTCCATCCCCTCTTACAAGGACTCCAGCTGAGGTCCAGGACACAAAGTCCACCTTTGCAATTCAGCAAGTTCCCAGACATGACAAACCATCATCTCAGGGAAAGAACCACCATGAGAATGTGGTGGTTCCCCTGGGCTTGGCTGATGGTCTCCTTGGAGGAGCAGAACTGGTGACAGGGAAAAGTGCTGTGGTTGCCACCAAGACAGGAGACCACCTAAGCCACCAGAGCCACACTTACAAAGCAGATGGACAAATCACAACGAATGAGGACTTCTTTTAATCTACGTGTTTCACCTGACATAACTTCATTCTATCTAGTCACTTGATCCGCCTTCTAAATCCAAAATTCAGTATTGTTAGTTACCTAAAAAAAGAAACAATGCTCACCCAGAAGAGCCTAGAAGCTCAAACTGGAATCATGAAACCCAAGCAGATCAATATTAAGTTACATGCTGGCAATTAGAGGGAAAATAAACACAGTTAACTCAGAGCCACGTGAAGCTTTGTACACGAAAAACACCAATAGTGTTTTATTAAAAAAAAATAAACAGGCTTGCTTTGAATGAGATAAACATTCACATTAGATGACATTTGGCATGATAATGTGAGCCAGGAACAAGCTATGCCTCAAAAGCACAGGTGGGTGTGAACAATCCTCACAGAGGCAGGAAGAGCCCCAGCTCCTCCCAAATGCCTGCCAAGCCATTCCCACTGATCTGTCCTCAGTGGCTGCTGGTGCTGAGTTGATCTTTGGTTCTTCCTGAAATTAGTTTATAATTTTCTGCTTTAGCTTCTCTATCAGCCCATCTTATTTAAACTACATCCTCTGAATTTTTTTTTTTTTTTGAGCTTTAGATTCTTCTTCTAGGAGACTTTCTAGTCTGCAGCCGGCTGGGGCCACTCTTCTTTCCCTTGGCTCTACTCACTGTGAGAAGAATAAAAGCCTCCTCTGTTCTCTTTGGACAGGTTTCCAGCACTCGTAGAATGGTTTATCTGGAAGCAACGTTTCAGATTTTTCTATGCTGCAACTGACACCACAGACAAGGATGTATCTTCACTGCTGAAGGAGAGCAAAACTGAAAAAATTCTGCCTCCAACCCTCTTTTAAAACAAGACAGAGCTCAAGCATTCTCTGCACCCCGCTACCCTTGACCTCTCAAGAAGTTCTGCCCTCCAGCCTATTCCACAGGACCACAGCAGCCAGAAGGGATCTCCAGTGGTCTCTGGTCCAGCCCTCAGCCAGCTTGAATCAGGTCATTGGCACCTTCTGCAGTCCAAAGTGAACTGTCCTCCAAGGATGTAGACCCCACACTTCCCTATGGCACTGGCTGTTACTGAGCAATCACCTTTATCAAATACACATTAGGGAAGCAATTAGGGAGGGGCCTGTGCCCACCCAGGCTGTCCTTAGGGCCCTGTTCGCCTGTGGCCCTCCCTGGACAGCTGGCTCTCCATGTAGTGTTTGACGTTGCCCACAGCACACACAGGCACTCAGACAAAACAATTTGAACTAGTAATAACTTTTTTGAGGTTATTCTTTCTCAGTCTTGGTACGTTCTATCTCTCCTGTAGGACATTCTGCACCTGAGAACGTGGAACTGCAGAGGGCTGAACACCTTTCAATGCCCCTGTACCAGGCAGGAAGTGCACCTGCCTGGATGCTACAACACCAGCCTCCAGTGTAAACACACACTGAACGGAACATCTGACATTCCTTTTCCTGGCAAGCTACTGTCTCCCTCCCCATTTTAAATACATGCTTTAGAAATATATAAAATGCATTACTTAACACCTGCTTTGACACAGGCATGGGAAGGAAACCACACTGGGCCTCCATGGAGAGCCTACACTATTTCACCTGGTCCCCTACATGCAGCCCTGTGTCCCTTGCACAGCTTGGTGAGATCCAGCAGTCATGGCTGGGATTTGAGTCAGAGGGGTCTGTAGTGTTTGTGGGCTTCTCATCACATTCAATGCAGCAACATTTGTTTTCAGGCAGAAAACATCAGCCTGTGCCCTTGCCTAGCAGCAACACTGATTTTTGCCTGGCAATGTTATGACTGGGTGGCTGTGTCCTCTGCCAGACAACACAACGACTCCCCGCTGATCCTGATGTTTCCATGGGACAGGGAATATTCCTACTGGGAATTGAGGCCCTGCACTCCACAGGGTGCAGATAGGAGAAACCTTTCAAAAAAAGCAGACTTGGCCTCATTCAGACAGGGTGATGCCAAGACTGGGAAGCAGATGATGAATTCTGACAGATTTAGCACTCAAATTGAGGCCTCAATTAAAAGAGCAGCTCCCAAGGCTGAGGCTCAGGGCCTGTCCTGCCCTGGGCCAGCCTGAAGCAGTGCCAAGCAGAGCTTGCCCAGGTCGCTCTCATCATTCTCCTCGGGCTCGCTGCTGAAGTTGGAGGGGCTGCTGCTGGGCAAGCTGTGGCCAGAGCTCAGGGATGCCTGGCCCTTTGGGTCAGTGCTCAGTGTCAATGCATCTTGCAGGCACACGTTGTCTGTGTGGGCAGGAGCCTGCTGGGAGTCTGGCTGGGAGTCACTCCTCTGGCTGAAAAACTGCCTTAGCAGGGATTTCTGGAGGGTTGTTTGCAGGCTTTCACAAGTCTTCTGTTTTGTGCTTTGCTGGATGTAATGTAAATCCAACTGCAGGACCACATCTGTCTGGAAGGGGAGAACAAAGAACGCAAAGTGAATGGGAGAATTAGATTGGAAGTAGAGCTTTCCTACTGCTGCTGCCAGAAAGCAGCCTTGGCTGGCTGCTGTGCAGGCTCACAGCCCCATGCTGTGGCATGATGGAGCAACACTACTGCCAGAGAAAATGAGCTGTACATACTCATACAGCTCAGGATGCTTGCAGGCCTCAGCCATGGATTTAGGATTTCAGGACCTCTCCTGAAATCAGGCCATGTGGGATCTCATCAGCTCCATCAGGGCACTGTCACTGCGAGCATCACTCCTGGGATGTGGGCACAGAGGGGCAGGAGCAGCTGCACCATGGCCAAGACCAATGCACACAGGAGAGAAAAGCATGAACCACTTACAGCCCTGGAAGAGTCCAAGGCCAGGTTGGATGGGGCTTGGAGCACCCTGATCTAGTGGAAGGTGTCCCTGCCCATGTCAGGGGGTGGAACGAGATGAACTTTAAGGTCTCTTCTAGCCCAAATCATTCTGAGATTCTGTGAACTAAAACACACTTCACACTGTAAAAGCCAACAGGTTTAACCAGCAGTGCTCCACAGGGATCTATTCACAGCCTAGAACTATTTTAGAATTTTATAAAAGATGAAGAAATAAGAGAATAACCGCATTCATGGCAGTCAAACCCCTGAAAACAGATCCCCAGCCTGGCACTATGCCTGAAACACCTGTAAAGAGCAGGGAGATGTATTATGGAACAAGATTTTGGCAGGCAATGCCTGGTCCAGGTCTCCTGTCTGCACTTGAATGCAATGCAGAACAACTGGGAAAGGTTCAGAAAAAAGCTCCAGGAACAATCAAGAACTGAAAGCACTGCCATATGCTGAAGCACATCATGTACAGAGCAAGCAGAACTGGTTGTAGGAAGATCCAGGCAGCCGCTTGAGAGCAGCACTTGGTGTAAGATCCACTGGCTGTGTGTTAGGGGGGGAAGAAAAATCCAAATATAAACAAAGGAAGAAAAATCCAAATATAAACAAGGTGCATACTGCTGTTTGAGGAGCGACAAGTCAGGGGACAATCAATTCTGCTTCTCTCATGGTCTTTAAATAGTTTGAGGGTGTTTCGAAGTGTGCCAAAGAGGCACAGCTTGGATCAGGCTTGGCAGTGCTACTCTGATGACTGGAGATCCTGGCCAGCCCATGGGCTCATCTCTCAGGCAAGCACACAGCCTAGTGAGACATTCTGCCACCTGAAATAACTGGGCAGGTCTGACCTCCCCATGGTTGACGGGGCAAAGAGCAGCCTCCCTGGCCAGGCAGCAAAGAAAAATAGAACAATGCATGACCAGTGATGCCTCTCTCTGCTCTCAGCAGCAGCTGCTGTGGGTCAGCTTTGATAGGAAGATCGGGCAGGGGAGACAACACAAAAGCAAAGAGCATCCACACTCGGGTTTTGCAAGCCTGATTGTAAATCAGAAAGATTTTGCTGAGGTGGAAAAGGTGAGGTGAAAAGACAGTGCTCTTCTATGGAAACATGCTGGGAGAGCTGAGTATGTCCAGCCTGGAGAAGAGAAGGATCAAAGATGACTTTAGAGTCTCCTTCCAGTGCCTAAAGGGCCTCCAAGAGAGCCAGAGAGGGACTTGGGACAAAGGCCTGGAGTGACAAGACAAGGGGGAATGGCTTCCCACTGCCAGAGGGCAGAGTTAGATCAGATATTGGGAAGCAATTCTTCCCTGTGAGGGCGGTGAGGCCCTGGCACAGAGAAGCTGTGGTCGCCCCATCCCTGGAAGTGTCCAAGGCCAGGTTGGACAGGGCTTGGAGCAACCTGGTCTAGTGGAAGGTGTCCCTGCCCATAGCAGGGGATGGGACGAGATTAGTTTTAAGGTCCCCCCTAACCCAAACTAGTCTGTGATTCTATAAAAGAGGGTGGGTTTTGTGCCTTGAAGATCAACAAACTCCTCTTTGGTCTGGATGTGACACTGACACAGACGTGGTCAGAGAGGCATATCCAGCTCCAGCCATGCAGATGGGGACACCAGTTCCATGAGAGCACAGAACTGTGGAAATTTGCCTATCAGCTACTCTCTACCTGAATTTTCTGCAGTGCACAGAGCTGGAAGACACAGTCCAGCTCCTCCCGCTTGTACACAAAGGCGAGTAGAGTCTCCACGTGGTCCAGACTGCTCTCCCTCTGGATGGCCACATCATCCGTCTCCTGGGCCAGGAAAACAAGACGAAATGCAAGGAAATTTCAGTATCAGCATGAAGCATTGAGTCATAACTGCCCATCAAACATGTGCTCAGGACTTTGATTAATACATTGCCTGGTGGAAATGCTGTGTGTCCTAATGGAAGTACTACAGAAAGCAAAAGGAATGCAGAGGTTTTGATATGCATTGATATGCACTTGCCTTGTGCATATCAATGAGAAGACCCTGAGTAGATCTTACTGTGAAAAATGGGGTACAGTAGTATTTTCAGTAGAGCAGGAAGCAGCATCAACTGGTATCAAAAGCACCAGTAGTGGCAGCAGTGTGTCATGGAGGGAGCAAGTTTTCCAAAGGCAGAGCTGGAAGCTCTGAGCTGTGCTGAGTGCTGATTTAGTCCCCCACCATCTACAGAACTGCTAATTCTTGCTGAGTTACTCAAATTTAACCAAAACAGCACCATATCTATGAGATCCTCTGCAGTACTGATTGAATCGTAGAGCCACTAATAATACCACAGGAAGAGACAAGGCCTTATTGTTGGGGGTTGAATTGGTCCCTTTTCTTTCGTGGAATTTTTCCCATTGTTATGCTAAGTATTTGTGGCTACACCTTAGTAGCAATAGTTTTCTCTCGAAGGGGGGTGGGGGATAGGGGGAGACCGGAAAAGGAAAGGTGGGACAGGGGCCTGGGCTCTCTCTCAGCTCGCTCGTGGAGTCGAAGGAAGACACCAGTGCTCCGATCCAGCATCCTCCCCTGCCATCCCAGCGCCGGGAGCCACGTTCCCTGCCATGGAACATCACTCTGCTGCTCTCCCACCTCATCCTACTACGTCGGGACACTCTGCCGAGCACCACGACCAACACCGTGAGGGGGGAGTCACTCCCCCATCCCTCTCACCCCTGGGCCGCTGCCGCCGTCACTCCAGCCCTCTTCAACTGCACGGGACCTGCCCTGTCCACAGCACCGGTAACTGAGTGCAGGGAGAGAGTGCCTTGGCCAAAAGGAACTGGAACTGAGCTATACTGTTCTGTTTTGTTGTCAATTTTTATAGCTGTTGTTTCTGCGGTTTGCCTTGTTAGATATCAGTAAAGAACTGTTATTCCTATCCCCATATATTCTGCCTGAAAGCCTCTGATTTGAAACTATAATATTTGGAAGGGAGGGGGCTGCACTCTGCATCTCAGAAAAAGGGGTTCTTGCTTTTCCTTAGCAAATACCTGTCTTTCAAACCAAGACACTTCTGAAATAGAGGCCTTATGAAATCATAGGTCATGGAATATCCTGAGTTGGAAGGAACCTACAAGTTCAACTCCTGGCCCTGCACGGACGCCCAACAATCCCACACTGTGCCTGAGAGCATTGTCCAAATGCTCCTGGAGTTCTGGCAGCCTTGGGGCTGTGACCAAGTCCTTCTTGCTTTGGATTCGAGCCCTTCAGAATGGGTGACAGACCACAGTCTACCAGCCCCTTCCAGAAGATTTCCCTCTGCCAGCTGGCTCTCGCAACTGTCCCAGTGTGATCTTTAGCAGAAGTTGTGCTGGGCATGTTGGTGAAGAAGGCTGTTACAATGTTTGGGGAGGTAGAAGTTGGAGAGGCTCTGGGAGCTCTTCCTGGCCTTCCCTGAACTGCTACCTGCAAGCAGCCAAAGCAATTTAGTTCTGGCCAGGAAAGTATAAGGAAAAACATTGGATTCCAAATGCTGGCTGGCATCTGCAGGCATCAGGATTCCCCCTGCATGCACGGCTGGTGGAACAAGAGTAGCATCATCGCTGATCCAGGTCACTGGAGCCTGAGGAAACACCATTTGTCGCTGTGCAAGAGAAAGTCAAATCCATCTCCACGCTTGGCAGCTCATTACTGGAAAGATAAAGTGGAGGGAGTTTGGGGAAGATCAGGCTGGTGAATGGAGACTAAACCTGGAGACCAAAGAGACAGGAAGCAGACGAGCCAGATGCTGCTGGCTCAGGGCTTGGGCAGCATAGCTGCAGAAAGGAGGGTGTAGCCCTGCTGTGCCCAGCCAGCTCGATCCTCCAGCCCATGTTCTGACCTGCAGAGCTGCCTCCAGCCGAGGGGTCCAACAGCAGTAGGATGTGGAGCTGCTGAATTGAGTCCAGAGGAGGCCACAGAGATTCTCTGGGGGATGGAGCCCCTCTGCTCTGGAGCCAGGCTGGGAGAGCTGGGGGTGTTCATGTGGAGAAGAGAAGGCTCTAGGGAGACCTTAGAGCCCCTTCCTATGCCCAAAGGGACTCCAAGAGCTGGAGAAGAACTTTGGACAAGAGCCTGGAGTGACAGGACAAGAAGGGAACGGCTTCCCACTGCAGGGGCAGGGTTAGATTAGAGATTAGGGACAATGTCCTTTCTGTTTTGGAATCTCCTCCCTGCAATTCAAACCATAACTTACTTCCATGTTGGAAACAACTTTTTATAGATTTCAAGGCCTCGTAAAATCAACATTTTTGCTTTTCTTGCCTAAGCTACAATTGCCTCGCTCCTTGCTTTCACTACTTTGTCTTAGTTGGCACACTTTTTTTCCATGAAGCACAGATCCGAACTTGGACCCAGTGTTCCAGCAACAGCCAAGAAAACCAGAGAGGATCTCACACAAATCTCAGAGGTCTAGTTTGCAGCCTTGCTATGGTTTTGTGCCCTGTTTTTGTTGCCTCAGCTGTTTTGGACTCTGACCAGAACTGGTTCTCCACTCACTGCCCATCCCATGCTGACACTACTTTTTATTCTTGCTCACGTGCAGCAACTTTCATCTGCTGAATAACACCCTTGGCCCTGAACTGTACCTTCAGTTATCCAAATCCTTCAAAAATCTGCTCTGTAGAACCTTGCAGAGACACTTGGTGTTACGGGATCTGTGTATTTAACAAGCACATCAGTGAAAATAAAAATCAATCCCACAGCCCTGATTTTCCAAAAAGCCCAAGTATATTTAATCAGCCTCTAAGGAGAGTTTTCTCTTAGTTTTAAATGGAATTTCCTGTGCACCAGAGTGTGCCCATGGCCTCCAGTCCTGGCACCGAGCACTACTGGAAAGAACCTGGCTCCTTCTTCTTTGCACTCTCCCTGCAGGTATTTGTAGTCCTGGATGAGTTCTTCCTGAGCCTGTCCTTCCACAGGATGATTAGCCCCAGCTCTCTCAGCTTTTCCTTACAGGGGAGGTGCTTCAACCACTTCATCAGCTCAATGACCCTTTGCCAGAGTCTCTCCAGTATGTCCATGTCTCTCTTATGCTGAGGAGCTGGAATTGTACACAGATGGAGGATGAACAATATCCACTGCCCTTGCCTTGTCCACTGAGCTTGTCACTTTGGTGCGGAAAGAAAGCATCAGGTTATTAGGCATGGAGGCCCTTTGCAATCTATCATAACTGCTCCCAACCACCTCCTTGTATTTTCTGTGTTTGGGGGTTATTGGCTCCGTCACTTTCTCAGAGATCACAGTGAGGCTGACCTTCCTGGAGCTCCCCAAATCTTCATTCTTGCCCTCCTTGGAAGGCAGGAGTGACACTTGCTTTTTTCAGGACTCAGGAAGACCATAAGGAGACGGAGAGTGTGCTTGCAGTCTCATCTCCAGCTCCCTCAGCACTCATGGGTGCTGGGTGTTTGTGAATGTCCAGTGCTTCCTGTCCTGGTCCTGCTCCTCCTCCAAGAGTCTCCCTTGCTCCAAACCTTCTTAATTTCAGAGTTCTGGGAGTCCTGAGATACTTGTAGAAGCCTTTCTTGTTGTCCCCAGATCCAGCTCCACATGGGCTTTGGCTTTCTGAGCCCCATTCCTCAAGCTTGAATGCATCTCTATAGTCCTCCCACATTACCTGCCCCTACCTCTTGCACACCTTTTCGTGTGTGAGCTCAGTTAGAAGCCCCCAGCAAATCCATGCAGGCCTCCTGATGCCTTTGCTTGACTCCCTGTCCATCAGGATCCTTGAAAATCCACCAGCTCTCCAGGGTTGTGTCCCACATGCACATGGTTCTCCAGCCTAGTGATCTTCAAGACATTCACCTGGGCAAGGAGCAACCTGGTGTGTCTGCTTTAGCAGGAGGGTTGGACTGGATGATCTACAGAGATACCCTCCAAACCCAAACACTCCATGACTCTGTGATCTCAAGTGATCAATTAAAGCTCTGACACATGGGATTCAAAACCCATCAGCTGACAGCAACTCATTATCCACAAGTATCTGCAGTCTGTTAAATTCCCAGCCTCCATAGCCTCCTGTTCCACAAACTAATTCCCTACCATACTCTCCTTGATAATTTCTGGATGTATAGGACAAAATGGAGAAAAGATTTTCTAAATTTATTTTTTTAGACAATTAATAATCATTTATAAACATTTCCTTATAAACATATGGTGGGATGTGTTTTTTTAATGAAGATGGTGCCTAGGAATTGGCAAGGCCAGGTTTTAGCTGGCCCAGAAATAGGGTTATTCTAAATAAATTGGGGGAAGGTTGACTGACAAGGCCATTATGTCAAACAGCTCCAGATCAAGTGTCTGGAAAACAAGGAGATTCAACATAAAGGTTTTATAAAAGTAAAGATTTAAACAATTTTGAGAAAAAAATGGCAATGCCTTGGGTCATTGTCGCTATAGGGCCGGGTGTGACACACAAAAGGCACGCTATACTTCAGAAGGCTAATACCTATTTATTACAACAGCATGCTGTCTTTTATACCCTCTACACAGTTTGCACTTTCTTCACTGGCTACAATTTGTCAACATAACATTGACTGGTGTAAAACCATCTACGCCTCTGTTTTCCACAAAACTTTTCTAAAAATACTTTTCCCAGCTGCAGGTTTCTTGTTACTTATCTTCTTCTTCTCTTCTTGGTCTCCAGGCCAATGGCCTTAATCAGACAATACTTCTCAAAACAAACCTCATTCATAATTCAAAACAAACCTCAACTATAATTCCCCCTTTTTTTCTTATTTAAACTGAAAACCCTGTTAAGGATTTTTCAGGGCCCTTGCAAAAATCCAAGCAGGCAGCAGGGGACAAAACAATATTTTAAGTTACAAAAAAGCCATTTGATTATTCTCATATTCAAACTTAAAACGTTCCCATAAACTGACCCATTGCAATCTAACAAGTCCTTACAGGTCATATGCTAGAGCAGCCTCTCCCTCTAAAGACTGTGCCTGTCAGGTAAAAATGGAAGTCAGGCAAGACACAGGATGGGAGGGAATATGGGACAACTACAGAAAATGGAACAATGCTATAGAATTCCATCATAATTATTCCCAGCAAACCCACAGCAAGCCCATTTAAGTCCCTTTGATAATCAGAATGTGGCAAATGGTGGGAAAACTCCCATTTCCTACACTTTCCATTTCCTTAATGAAACAGCTCTCTGTTCAACAGCTCTGGATCATTCCCCAGGGCTTACAACTTCACATTCAGCCTGGTGTTGTTGGCCTTCAGCCTCCAGCTCCAGCAGCTCAGCCATGCACATGGGACTTAGGGGGGGCCCCAGCAGCTCTCAGCATCCCCCAGGAGTGCTGGCAGGATCCTAGAGGGAGCCCAGTACCCCTGTGGGCATCTCAGGGATCCCTGTGGCTGATGTGATGTCTGAGGTGGGGCAGGTGACAGTCATGGAAGGACATGCTGCTGCCTCTGCAGACAGCACTGGAGCTCAGTTTGAGCCAGCTCCACCATGCACTAGGACAAGAAGAGGAATCTGGCTGTACTGGAGTCCCTTTTTGCCTCCCTGATTCCTCCTGAGACAGCTCTGGAGGCAGGAGCAGGCAGCTGGGTCCCCCTTCCCCCCAGTCACTGATGTGGGGCAAAGCACACAAATACATGCTCACACACACAGACAAAATTTTCATGCATGATGCTCACAAACATCAATGCTGCAGTTTAGGAACGGGCAGGATAAGGCTCTAAACCTCCTGGATACACCACTGCATCGGTGACCCCAATGTGCTGAGGAGCAGTGTCCCTCCACAAGAAAGAAGGGCCAAAAAATCCACCACAAATGGGAAGGGAGATGGTCTACAGAAAACAAGAGAGATAGTTACAGAAAGGAGCAGCAAATTAGATCAGTAGCAGCAAAATAATTAGAAGTGGCATGGAGACCATCAGTAAAGGCCACAGTGGACACATGGTCTGTGAGGAAAGGTTTGAGAAAGGGTTCAAGGAGGCTGGTACAACTCAACCGGGAAGGAATATATATTGTTGCATTGAGATGTATTAGCAAGCAGGCTAAAGAAGGCCTACGTCAAAAAGCCAGACCTACTTCCTAATACAGAAAACAAAATAGCTCTTGGCCTCAATCAGATTAAATGCAATAATTTAATCAGGCAGGCCAGAAATCAATCTAAGGGATAACTGGTTAAAGGCATCAAACTGCTGCCAAATCTTTTTTGTGATGCATGAGGAGCAATGCAGGGAATCCACTGAGATGTGGAAGCAGCCTTAAAAAGGCGTATGCAGAGGAGGGGATCCTTTTTCACCTGGGATCAGCCGTTCCCAGCCCTCAGGACTCAGCCCAACACCCTCCCCACCTCTGACCAGGGGAAAGCAGCCCAGGAAGGGGACTGGCCAGAGCACTCACGGCAAGCTGGCGGAGCAGGAGCTGGGGGTCAGTGATGTGGGCCAGGGGCAGCTGTGGCTTGGCACACACGAACATCAGGTTGGAGAAGAGTCGGAGGAAGTGGAGCTCCACCCGCACCCCACATGGGAAGGTCATCGTTTTGCTCGGCAGCTCTGGAAGGGAAATTCAAGCACAATCAACTCCCTGGAGGGTTCTGTCAACACCTCCCTGCACAGCAGTGTCCCTGAAGGGCACAGGCACACCCAGTTCCCTCCTCCCCACACCCTGTATAGCTCACTTTGGCTGTGTCCCCAGTGCTCAGTGGCTGCTCTCGAGGGACAGATGGGGTCCGTCAGGGACCGGGCTTCCTTTAGAGTGTGCTTGATCTCCATCACCTGTTTCCCAGCGACCAGGGGATCACGGCCAATGTCTGCGCAAGAGTTGGAAGCACAAGCATCACTCCAGGTTCCTTATTGATCTCCCTGCCTTTCAGGCCCTACATGAATGTCTCCATGCTGCTTGGAGGCTACTGAAAGCTCTCAAGGGGCATGGCCTGTGATTTGGTTTTAGGGAAGAGTGGTGTGCGGGCTGGGATGGGGTGGGGTGGGATGGGGTGGGATGGGGAGCCACTCGGTCTCTGCTGTCTCTTCTTACCCCTGCCACTGAAGCGAGTGGTTTCTAGCTTCTCTTACCTTCTAACACATCCTCCAGCATGTGTGTAACCTTCTTCTCTTGCAGAATGTGTTTCTTCAGGTATTTCATGAAGATGCCAGAGCTGAACTCCCCATCCTGCATTTCATAGGCTTCTGCATCTTCGCTCCTGCAAGAGTAAGGATATTTCTTCAGAATCCTCGCAGTTCTGCATTTGGCATGAAGTCCAAGCTGATTCTGGGGTGGCCAACTCCACTCAGACTCTATTGGCTGGGCCAAAGTAGCTTCTCAAGGAATAACACAAAGTGCTTTGGTTGTACCCCAAAGAGGGTAAGCAGGCCACAGGATGGGAAAAAGCAGTCAAAGGAAATGGGATAGGACAGCATAGTCTCCTTTGACAGCCCAGGCAGGTGACAAAGGCCAGTAGAACTGGCACTGGATCAGTAAATAACACCCAGCATCTCAAGAGGCTTTGGGTGAGCTGCTCACAGGACATGCAACTGGGGAATCAGGCTGAAGAACAGATGACAGGAGCTGATGTCACCTTTACACACAACTTGTAACTGAAGCACAGGCTGATGGCAGCAGGAAGCATAGAAGTGCCTGAACAGATAGACCAGCAGATAGAAGGTGAGAGACAGAGGGGACATGAAAGAAGCCCTCTCCAGCCTCCGTGCACAAAAGGATGAGAGGGCTGTGCCAGAGTCTGGTCCCCTGTGAGGGTATGGTGAAAGGTGAAGGGAGAGGTGAGGGGAATGGTGAAGTGACTCACGTGGAATAGCCATAGACAGTGTTTCCCCAGGGCTCCAGTGGCTGCACCTGGGACAAGGCACATCCTGGGTTGTACCTGGAGAGGAGGCAAAGGCAGAAGTCAGTGTTGAGGACATCTGTCACCTGGAGGGGACAAATTCCACACACTCCTCATGTCCATCTCTTAAGGATGGCAGTAGGATCAACTCTCACCTTGGATATAACCCGAGAGACTAAAGCTGGAAGTCCCACCAAGAGCCCAAGTCACAGGGAGAGGAGTAGGTATGTCCAGCTGTGAGTTATCTGCACTGGTAAGCTGCTCCCTGCCCTGAGCCTGAAGCTCTGCTACAACCTGGAACTGTGGGTGCATGTTGCCACCTCCCTACAGAGGCTGAATTTTAACAGCTCCAGGCAGCATCACAGTGCAGGTTCACAGTGGCCCAATGGACAAGTGTCCCTCAAGAAGTCAGAGGTGAACAGCACCATGGTTACAGCTCAATGGTCTTTGCACCCTACGGGGCCCTTCGAGACCATGCGCACACTTTTGCCTCAGGGAACCAAAGCAGGCTATGGATGATACATTCCCAGATTCCCTGAGAGATGGTATCAGGACACACATACAAGTCCCAAAGCCTAAAACTGGTCCTAGCACCTCGGTCTAGATGCAGCTGAATGAGCACAGCCTCTATTATTTCCAAAATCAGGTAGATCCATGGTGACAGGATCTGATTTCCAATAAAAAAGGTATCTTGGTTGCATTGAATGGTTAAACCTTGCCCATATGACTGCAGCCAGACTGAGAGCACGGGGACAGGCTGCCTCCAGTTCACACCAGTGACTCAGAGCTGTTCCCAGTCGCATGGCGATAACAACCAGGCACAGAGGCAGTGTTAAGTCCACATAATTCAGTTCCAGCACCGTTTCCTGGGACTGGAGCTGGCACATTAAGGAGAGCAGAAAGGACAGGGGTATTGACAGCAGCCAGCGCATCACCTACTGCTAGGTGGCACAGTCTGGAGATGTTTAACAGCAGAATTCAACTGGCTTGTGTAAGCTGTCCTGAAGATGATCAGAAGAGAAAATGTAAGAAAGGAGACATCTTTCTAAACCTGAATATTAAGCTTTATCTGCTCTTCAACTGCTCTTAATTTAATGCAAAAATCTTTTGTTCCAGGTCCAAGGATAAATCAGGGATTTCCTGGAAAAGGCAATCATATCTGCCCAAAATCAGCATATAAATGTATGAGGCTACACAGAGGTTCTGTGTTCTGATTCCTCCCCTGCTAGGGCTGAGCATCTGCTCCCACTTGGCAAAGGGAGATGTCCTTCTCACCACCCTGGCATTTCTGATTTCAACACATGAGGTGAGGAGAAACTCTGGGTGAGCTCCCTCTTAGCACAGACACAGCTTCATGCATGAGCTGCTGAAAGACCTGCAGCATCAGTCTGACCAGGAGGGTGTTGGGAAAGGAGGCCCTGGGAGCCTTGTTTTACACAGCAGTGTAAACACACACAGCTATGAAATCCAGATGCTTTCCTGAGGTGAAATGGTGACTTCTCGAGAAAAAATGAGCTCAAGAGAGAGCTCCTGCCCCCACAAGATCAGGAATAACACCCACTGCATGAAGTGCTATGCTTGCTGTGGAAAAGGGGAAGTGTGAACTTTAGGGAGGGAGGGAAAAAACCAGCTGCACAACTTTGCCTAAATGTAACAGCAGATCTCACACTGCATCCTCTTCCCAGAGCACCACTGATACTCCATTGAGCAAAGGAACCAATGGCAATGCCAAGGAAGGAGACAGCAGCTCAAAGGGAGACAGCAGCTTGAAGGAAGACAGCAGCTTGAAAGTTGTTTTATAGATTGTTGCACTAGTGGTCCCTGTGCAGCCCCCATACTGCCTCCCCATCACACACTGCCCTCAGATGGCACAGCAGCAGCCCAGAGCTGCACCAGTCCAGTTCCAGGAGAGCATCCATGAGAGCCAGGTATTCCTGCTTGGCTGCAGGCTATCCCCTGCCTCTTATCATACTGGGGAGGGCAGCCAGGTGCTGCAAGGAGTGCCAGGGAAGCAACACACTCTGCACTCAGGGGCCAGCAAGAAGGGAGAAAGGGGATGCTCCACTCTGGGGAGTTCAGAGTAGCATCAAGGGACATCAAGCTCCTGCTCCAGAGCTACGGGACAAGTCCCAGCACAGCCAGCTTTAAGCTATTCAAAGCAAGCAGCCCCACCACTGCAGCTAAAAGGCATGAAAAAATTATTATCTCTCCAGGGGCTGACAGCTCTCCCAGGGTATCAAAAGCCTTGCTGTCTTTCCATTCTTAGTGGAGGAAGCACAGCAGGAAGAGAGAGATATTCCTACATTTGCTCTCCAGGTCTTTCCTGACCTGTAAATCTGCCTCAGGAGCCTGAAATAAATGAACTAATGACAGATTCTACTGCAATATCCACCCACTTCTGCTGAAACTGGACAAGTAGTAATTTCCTGCAGCAGGATACAAGTCTGCAGGGCAAGGGAGGATGATGGGTTTTCCACAGGAAGTGGGAAAATGCTGATCTGTGACCTCAGCAGCAGTAGCTTCACAACACGACCACTTCAGAAAGATTTAAGGTCAGTAAAAAACAAGCAGCAGGGCTTAAAATATTTTCCCTGTCATGTTGCACTCTTCTCACAGTTGTTAACACGAATGCAGCCAGGAGAAGAGAGGTGAACTCAACAGTCCCAGCCTGAGCACGTGGGAAATACAGACCAGGAAGGCACGCAATCAGCAAGATCAGGTCAGGTGGGTCAGGCTTGAAACACAAAAGACAAACCCTGTGCTAGTTTCAGCCAATAATTTATGCCAGGTAGAGCCATCCCTCTACAGACTTGAGGCAACCTGCCTGTATTTGTCAGGTTTCTTCAGCTCAAAAAACCAAGGGAGGATCTCCAGCCCCTTCTCTCCAGCAGATCTCAGACAAGGTCTGAGTGCTCGCTGCACTAATACATGATTGACCCATCTCCCAGGACACCCTGCAGGACCTGACAATGGGGGTGATTTTACAGCATAGATCAATAACCTCTGACAGAGGTGCTGCAGCACCACGGGGACTGCCAAAGACCACACCTGAGGATGGCTACCTTCCCCCAGCCCTCGGAATATCCAGCCCAGGTGAGGAAGGAGGAAGAAGCTCATACCACTTCCTGCAGGTGTCCAGCAGGATGATGTTCAGGGCTGTCCGCTGCTGCTGCATCTTCTGGAGGATCCTCTGCACGCTGATGCAGTTCTCAGGGGCATAGGGTTGTGGAGCATCAACAGGGACCATGTAGTTCCTCCCCAGATGTTCGTACCCATGCCCAGCATAGTAGAATATAGCTGGGAACAGGGAGAGGAGAAGATGAATAATGAAGCCAACCAGCAGGTCTGTAACCAGCTCCCATGGCCACGTCCCACCTCCTGTCCTGAAGGGATACTGGTGCAGGACAGACCTATACCAGTAGCACCTATGGAACTGGAGCTACATTGAACTCACAGTTTCAGGTTTTTCCCAATTTATTCCTTTCATTTGAGTTGGAAGCAGCCTCAAGAGGGTCTCCTGTACTCCTGCACTGTTTGTCTCCTGAAGGCCCTGGGTTTACACGTTTCCAAACCGTCTGCGCTATAACACCCGGGCTCAGTACCTGCTAGGCTGAAATTCACCATTGTTCAATGTTTGGATTAGTTCTCAGCTCTTTGAAGGAATAAGGCAACAGAAAAGGATTTTACCAGGATGGAAAATACATTAACAGCCATTTAAATGAGAAGCTCCTCAGCTTCCTAGTTTTGGAGAAGAGACTAACAACTGATTAGGTGGTGGGAAACATTCTCAATTTCAAAGGTCTACCTGTGTTCACACACCTAGAAGCTGGTGAAAAATGAGAGATATGAGTTCTTCAGATGTCCAAAACATGAGGATCATGTGCTTCAATAACCTCAAGCCATGCACCAGCCCTGTTAGGCAGGGGAGGAGTCGGATTCATGCAGATGCCAGTAGGAAGCCCAAGACCCAACAAGAATTTTGGGTTTTACTCTTAGGCATATGAAATTTAGTAATGGCTTCTGCCTTTCCAAGAGATGGCAACACAGGGCTGGTAGGAAACCAGCTCTGGGGAACTTGGCATTGCCTAAGCTGGAGTTCCTCTCCAAACCCTGTGTTCAGTGCAGGACTGGCACAGGGATCCCCAAGCAGACCAGAGCTTCTTAAAAGGAAGCTGCAGAGTGGCTGTTTATCCCTCCCCAGGACCAATGACACTGCCTGGGGGATGCTGGTTGGTGAAAAGCCAACTTGGAGTTGAAATGGGTTAAAAATAGCTCTGCGAGGTAACACAGAGAGTTGTGTTACTGCAATTGGGGAACAGTGAAGAGCGAGAGGTCAGAAATGGAAAAAAGCAACTAAGAGGCAACAGCAGGAGAAATCCACTCAGATTCACTGCCAAAGCCTACGCTTCAGTGAGTAACCTCTCCTCTATTCTGCTTCCACTGTTCCTGCCCCTGGACTTGGCAGGACACTCACTTTGGTCTGATTCTGCAAGGATGCAGTAACAGGGGCAGGAGCTGAAGGGTTGAAAGCATGATCTCATCGTGTGGAGAATGGAAAACATGATCTCATAGTCAGAAAGACCTTGAGTCACCTTTGGTTTCTATTCACAGGGGACAATGGAAGGTTCCTCAAATGGCCAGTTTCACAGGTGCCCATGAGATCTGGGTTCCTGTTCTTGTGGATTGCCAGCCAGAGACAGCAGGCTCTGATTTGCAGAAGCTTTAAACATTCATAACTCGCAAAGCAAAGCCACAAAACCCTCCCCCAGGACTAGAAAAGAGTATAGAACAGGAAGCCATCTAGAAAAATTAGATGCAGGCTGGGCCCCTTGAGCCACTGAGCACTGGAGGCTCATCCTTCTGCCTGTAGATGCAAGGGAAGTGATGACATCTGTTACCAGGCAGTATCACTGAGGCTCGGAAAAAAAATTAAATATAACAGGAAAGCCCACAATGAATGATTCAATCCTTTAATCTTCCAACTTTCGAGGTCTTGTTGAGTATCTGAATGTACAACCAAGTGCTCCCCATGCTATATAAATCACAAAGACTCATGTTCAAATAAAAAAGGTGAGTTTCACATCACCTGAACAACTTCTCCAACCTCCCTCAAACTGAATGTCTCCTTCTGAACAGGAAAGTCAACAATTTGCCCAGAGAAGGAAAGGGATGTTTTATTCTGAATTATTCCTACATTGTATGAGTCAGAACTGCTCATCACAGAAAAACTTCTGACTTACCGAATTAAAAAAGGGAAGCTCCAAGCACTGTTTATAATAGCAGGAAATGTCAGCCTGAGGCATGACTTCATATTCCTAATATTCCACTCACAATTTTCTGCTCTCGTTGCATTTCCAGCATAATTTTTTTGATTTGGGACTTTTTAGGATGCTCAAAATAACATCCACGGGGATTCCTCGTTTGCCTGAGGGTGGAATAATCAGATCACTTAGAGGATGCTTGGGGCCTTCAAAGATCCTACGTAGCTTTTCTAAGATGAGATCTAGAGGAAAAGCAGCCCAATAACCCACTGCCTCCATATAGTGAATTGGAGAAACCATTGGATCATAGAATCATTAGATCTTAAAGTCCAACCTTGGACTGAACCTCACCATGCCCAGTATACCATATCATGCAGTCCCACATCCACTTGTTTTTTGAACAGTTCAAGATCCAGGCCTGTGAGGGGATGTACTGGGATGGTCTGGAGATGTGGAAGAAATCTCACAAAAGCCTACATTTTCTGGAGGGACAGTTACAGAGACCAAAAAGCCCGACTGCGCTTGTCAGCACAGACCATACAACAAAGCGCAATGAGCACCAACCCACGGAGCTTTGTGTTCACCAGTCAGCCCTCTCTTGCTTCTACATGTATACACAAAGCTCTCCTGACTTCAGCTCTGATGGTTTTCACACAGGAGGTAGCACCTCCAGGCTCCTCAAGCAAGAACACTGGGATGCCATAGGAGCACGTCCAACAGGCACATGGATGTACAGGACTGGCTGTCACAGGCACCTCTGGGGTCTTTAACAGGCTGCCTGAGATGTTCCTGGAGCTGCTATCTCACCACAACTGGGGCACTCAGTAGGCAGCCTGACCCATTGTCCCACCATTAAATTAGGATTCCAGCGAATGTGGCAAGATTCCTGAACTCAACCACTGCTAGGTCCAGCCCACACCGAGGTTCACTGTCTTCAGAGAATAGCACACCACTCAGCCTGGAGACCTGTTAAGAAAACCTCAACCTAAGCAGGCATTGCCTCACAAACACACAATTGAGCTGTTAATGTTTTTCTTGACAGCACACAAAATCAATTTTGCAGGAAGGATCAGAGGCCACAAATACAGAGAATCTCTAGAAGTTCAAATAAGGTGTGATGATATAAAAGGTTTGCTGTTTCTAAGCATTTTTTTCTCTCCAGTACTTAGGAAGGGCCATGGATAAAATGCCTTTTAGTCCTCACGTGCCATGGATAGAGGGTAAGAACAGTAGCTGGGATGTCTCTGGCCTGGAAGAGGAGGTAAAGCCTGGGATACAAGGGGATTTCAGAGAGCAACAACAAAAGGAAGCTGCAAGTGAAGTCATGGGAATACGCTGTCATAGGTGATCTGCTCAGATGAAACGCCAGGACTTGTGCATAGCCCTTCCCACCAGCTCAGCCTCCCCTGAGTCTGTGCTGGATGAGTCAGAACAAGGTGGTTGTGCAGCATTCACCTTGTGGCCAGGTCCCCATCCATTGCACAACCTCCAAACCTCATGCTGAATGCCAGTCTGGAATCAGCCCACGCTGACGTTCACTGTCTGCGTGCCACTCAGCTGGCATGTAGGCACCACACTGAGGTTTGGAAGCAAAAAAAAACCACCTGCAAGGTGTTCTCAGGGTATCTGTCACACTGCAAGAATCTCAGGGATCCCAAAGATGCTACTTTCACCACCAAATCTGAACATCTGCTTTAAGACCCACAAGATCTGCTGGTTGGGTTTGTGGTCGAAGAATGCTTCTTTAGTGAGCACAGTGCACAATTAAGCACAAAGCCCAGTCTCAAAGCCACCTGCAGCTGGGAATGGTCTTCTACAAAAGGGCTGTCAGGGGCCCGAATTTGACTTTCAGGAAAAAGAAACAAGGAAGTCATGACCAGATGCAGCAGTCAGGGCTCAAAAGGAGCTCCTCTCCTCATACATGAGTAGGGGAGGGCAATCAATCAGTCTCCCCAATTCTTTTATTCAAGGAAAAAATCAAAACTCCCTTTCTCATTCACTATTGGAAGCACTGGCTCCCCAAAAACTCAGTGTGAGCCCATGCTGTTGGGGTTGGAGGTGAACCTTGTGTTGGAGAAACATCCACCTTGTCTGACTATAACCTGCCAAAAACTAAACTACACTTATCCAAGAACTCCTGCCAAGACTGGTACTGATGCAGGTCTCCTTTGAGATAGCAATGTTAAATTCCTTCTCTTTTAATTCCATTAAATTCAATTCAGAAAATTGCCTAATCCCTACTCAGCACAGGCAGGTGACTGAGCTGGCTCGGCCTTACCATAGACTCCCTTCCCCAGGAGCTGCAGGAACCGACTGACTGCTGTCGCCATCTCAGCCTTGTTCAGGTCCAGCAGGGAGACAACCTGGAAGCCCAGATGCTCCAGAAGACGACTCAGCTCAAACACATCCCTCACAGGAGCCATGAGGTTGGGGTGATGCTGGTAGCAGTTGTTGCCCACTAAAAGTGCTATTTTGTCTGTAGCTAAAATAAACACCAAGTGAAAAAGCTGTAAATGCTCATCAGGATGCAAGATCTCACCTCCTCCTGTTAGAGTGAGGACATGGGCAATCTAAGGAAAGAGTAAGGCAGCAAGGATAGACCCTAGGCTGCTGTCAGCCTGGAGCACCCTCCAGAAAGCCCTTGGCTTTCTGAACACTTTGACAAAATACACAATAATTTTGACAGAAAGGCCTGAAAAGTTTTCACTTGACAACCAAAATCCCAGGAATGCAGAGGTTCTGCTCTACCTGTCCTACTGTGACAGGTCTGGTGTGACAGTGGTACATGGGAGGGGGATTCACTGAGCCAGGCTGAGAGGTCCTTTCCCTCATGGGGCTGAAGGAGAGAAACTTGGGTCCTGCTTTGATTTTATCTCCAGCTCCCACTGTAAAAAGACAGGATTTATGTTGCTCAGTTGTGGTGGGAGCAAGGAACTTTGCTCTGCTCTGAGGAGGTATTTCAAGTAGGGATAAGTTGTCATTTGAACAACACTTTTAAAATAATTTGGCAGGCACAGAGCTTAAGACTCAGTTACTCATTAGGAATAATCTTACTCCACTTGCTGGAAAAGATCAGAGTTTGGCAGGGGATGAGACTCATCTTATGCTGTGCACCTCTAACTCAAAAGTGCAGAGCCTGTGGCAATGTGGTCATAAAGGCCTTGAAGTGGTCTCTGCAGAAAAAGCACTCCCATGCCTTGTCCTCCCATCCACCCTGAAGCCTGGCTTTTAATTAAGGGAATAATTGCTCAGGAAGAAAAGATGACAGTACTCACCAAAAAACTTTCCAGGGCCACAAGTACCTGGGAAAGAAAGAGGGAAATTATAAGCCTAGGTTCAGTAAGCCTGGGCCCAGCACTCAGTGCCAGGTCTGAATTCTGCTCCAATATCCCAAACAATGCACAGTTGGACCAAACACACAGAATATTCACAAGCAACATTCCTCAGGTAACTCCTTCATAGCCCGACTGCTAACCTTAAAGACACTGGTCTGATGTTAAGAGGATTTATGAAATCCAGCCTGATTTCAACATCTTGAGCAGCTGGGAAGCAAAGATTGGAGAAGTGGCAGACTAGGGAAGGAGGGTCAACATGGAGAAGCTTGTACCTGATGTGACTCACCTGGTACCTCGCTGCAGTGAAAGCAAAGGACACACAATGATTCAAAGTCAATAAAAGCACCAAAACAGAGTTTCTCCCCAGAAATATCGAGTGCAGAGTAAGTTGCCCTGTTTGCTTTTGACTGCAGTAACATTCCCAGTTTTTCATCTCCCTGCACTGCCTTTCCCTGCTGTTTTAGCAGTTCTGGCTCAGAAAAGCCACACACTTTGGTCCACAAGCTCTCCTGCCTGAGCACTTCCAGCCTCTTAAAATTATTATTACCCTAACAGCTCTAGCTTTTCCTGTTTCAGTTAGAAATAAATTTAAAAATCAATTTTAAATTTAAAAAAATGAATCAATTTTAAATTTAAAGATAAATTTTAATTTTTTTTTAAAAAGGAGAAAATTCTAGAACCGTATGTGCTCTAAAAGAAGAAATTAAGGATAAATTGCATAAATCTCATGGGTTTTGAAGACCTTTGGCCCCTGAACCAGCGTCGCTGATGCATGAGATGCCTGAAAAGCTGTAGAACAAAACAACTCATCCTCTTCCACCTCAGACAGAGGCACCTGCTGCATATAAAGACTCCCCAGCTGTAATACATTGAACCCAACCCAATCTAGTGTTCTTTTTTCACTGTCTGTCCCACCACGATGTGTTTTGCCAGCTGTGAGGAGTGCTCTCTGGTTACACAAGATCAATTTGCATTTTGGAGACTTTTTAAAGCCAGCCTAAAAGGCAAAGAAGCTTATGGCATAGAAAAATCTCTAGGTGGAGTAAAGAGCCAGCAAAGTCAGCCCATGCTATTCCTGCCTCATATAAGGTAAAGGCAGAGGGCCAAAGCAGCCAGAGGTGAAGTATGCCAGAGGTTCTAGGAACACATCCTCTCCCTGGGATCCATCACTCACACAGTATTAGCCCCAAGCTGCCAGCCCAAAGGGCCTGAACCTTCCCAAATAAACACCATCCTCTCCAACTTTGTATTTGAGCACATCCCTTCACATCAGCGAGACTGGAAATGAGTATGGCCACAGGAAGCATGCTGCGATTTGGCCTGGAACTGTGAAAGCAGCACCTTGGCACAACAAGAAAACGTCAGAGAACAGCTGAGAGCACTGAGCCTGCCCTTACACAGCAGGCCCAGCAGCATCCCACCTGCTGGACAGCACATCACTGCACTTAGGGGGATTTCCAGCCACTGCTCCCTTTGCTCCCTCAGAGCCCCAGTATCAAGGAATCCTGTTTATCATGGTCCTTGTTCACCAGCTCAGCACCTCCAGAGAGCACCAAACTCCTTTGTCCCCTCTAATTACGTCTCACACCAGGTGATATGCAGCAAAGTGATGTGGGCAAGCTCTGCTCACCGATGTGAACGTCCACGGCGTTGGTCCAATGCTCTCCATGACTGTTGGAGGCACAGCAGAGGTACGTGCCGGAGTCACTGACCTTGGTGTGGGTGATCTAGGCAGATCAAAATTAAATCACATAATTTATGGTGAAAGTCTGAAGCTACCTGCCAGGATCTGCCAAAGGCACTCGTGTTCATGGAATAAAAAGTATTTTTCCTGCTGTTCGCAGAGACTTTACCTCACAAAGAATCAGGAAAGGGACAAGAACCAGAGCAGTACCAGCTGGCAAGGACTCTGGTTCTCCAGACCAGGATCCTGCTCAGAGAGGGACTAAAGCCACCACTGAATCAGGGTGGCCATAGCTCTGTCTATTCAAGCCCTGAACACCTCCAAGCACATTGCTGCCTTTCTGACTCCAGCACAGCACCATTCACTCTTCTTAGTGCCCAGATTGAACTTTTCCATCACAATTGCAATCTAAGACTACCATGTAATACCATCTAAGACCATCTGTAATACCAGCGACCACTACTGAGAAGAGACTGGATGTCTTGTCCTTGTGCCCTTCACGATGCCCTGGAAGGAAATCTCCTTTCTTTATTCAAGAAGACAGCACTGACTTACACTCAGCCAGAGATACAAAATAAAGCCAGCCTCTCTACTGCCTCCCTGACTCTTTTCTGTCAGGGCCAACCACATTTCCTTCTAGGTCTCCAGCAGGCAGGCAGCATTCCCGCATCTCCATCAATCCACAGTCCCCTCCATACACAGACAGTAACTGTTCTCATGTCTCTGTGTAAAAGGGCACAAGAGATGTGCTGAGAGCCCTTGATGCATCTATGGATTGGTTACCTCTTAGAGGAATATCCACAACTTTGAAAGAAGTCCATAAACCATAGTCCCCCTTCACACAGAGTCATCCAGCCAGCTACTAAATCAGCAGGGTGATATGTAGAGGGCTTTCTCACAACCCTGCAATCAGCTTCTCCCATTACCCACCTCAGCACCTGTACTGCTCCTGTACTATGCCCAGAAAACCTTACCCGGAGTTTTTTTCTCTTCTGCTGCTCCAGCAGGTTCCCATTGCAGTACCACTGGTAGCTGGGGGCTGGGACCCCTATGGCAGCACACTGCAGCTGCAGTGGCTGCCCTACCTCCACCCATTGCTCGCTGGGGTTGAGGACAATGACTGGTTCTCCTTGCCACAGCCGAGGAGGCAGACCTGCAAGGTAGCAAGACAGAATTGGTCCTCCCTTCACAGAGACAGCAAACAACGCCATTTTCAACCATCACTACTGCACTTTCTCCCTGCGGAGTAGGGAACCCTTGGGAGCAATGCCTGTGATAGTAAATGCCACACCTAAGCTCTGCCTCTGGCTTCCCAAACCTGATCCTCGCCCTTTCCTGCCAAAGATACAGTCAACGTTCTAAGGTCAACCACACCTCAAGTTATTTTTGGTCAGCTTTGAAGTAGCCAGATGGGTTCTTCCAGTCCCAATACCCAGAATAACTGAGAAACCCATGGCAAGCATGAGGTGCAGGTGCATGTGGACAGGGCTTGGAGCAACCTGGTCTAGTGAAAGGTGTCCCTGCCCAGGGTAAGAGGTGGAACAAGATGAGCTTGAAGGTCCCTTCCAAACCAAATCATTCTGTGATTTCATAATACATCAAGAAGGCAAAAGACAGGCTTGTACCTCTGGCGACATACGGATGGACCTCTACCTTCACCCAGTCAGAGAAGACAACATTTCTTTGGAGGTCATTGACTCTGCAGGTGTAGAGCTGGGTCTGCTCTGCAATGATGGGCAAGTCTTGGTTGGTTGCTCCAGGAATCAGGCGGCAGTCAGACTAAAGGGAAAACAGGCAGAGGACAGCAATTCCCTCCTCATTGATGGCAGTAGAAGGCACTAGGAAGCCCCTTGTAAGAGCAACAGAAGTGGAAACTCCTGGTTTCCTTCCCTCCTTCAACTTCCCCACTGTGTGCAGGGACCCAGTCTGGTGCCATACCAAGGGCCACCCCATCTTTACCTGGTCCTGACAAAACCACTGGTACTGCAGTGAGGTGCGTCCCTGGGCTCGGCACCGCAGTGTGAAGGAATATCCGACCGGGACAGAGACAGAGACCGGCTGCTCGGTTATGGCAACGGCTGTGGAGAAACAGCATGTGGAGGTGGGAACGACACTGCAGTCATGGCCCAGCATCTCACTCTCACTCAGTGTCAAGGCATGGTGGGCTTCAAGAGGGACACCCACCCCAGCAGGCAGGGAAGACTGGAAGAACAGGGATGCCCTTATGCCCAGAGAATGGAGAGAAGGAAGGAAGGATGGAAGGATGAATGGATGACACGGGCTCTTCTGAGTACTCTCAAAAGTGCCCGGGGGCTGGCACGGTCACTCTGCCCCGCGGCCACTCACCTTTCTGCATCGCCTCTCCGGCGGCTCCTCCCCGGCCTGGGCGGCCGCCGGCCTTACCCGCGGCAGTTCCTCTCTCCGGGACGCGGTGGCGGCACTTGCGGCGAGGGACGGCAGCGCTGGGGCGGGTCGGGCCCGGACGAGGGGCCGCTCACCCGGCGCGGCGGCCCATGGCGGGCTGGGGGCTGCGGCGCCGGACCAGGGCCCGCCCTCGGCTGCCGCCAGCCCCGCGGCCCCGCACTTCCGCGCTCCCGGCCCGCCCCGCGCCCGCCGGCACCGGGGGCGGTGCCGCCACGCGCCGAAGTTGCGGCGACCCTGCACGGATCGGCTCCGCACGGCACGGCACGGCACGGGTCGGATCGGTTTCCGCTTGTCTGGCCCGCTCCGACGGAGACGCTGCAGGACGCGCCCCTCGCCGGGACGCCAAGGCTGCCCACGAGTGACCTTTCCCCCTCCCCAGGGATGTCCTCACGCCCATCCCCACTGGTGACCTCGCCCCCTCCCAACCGTCCCTCCTTGCCGTGGTGCCCCCCTCCCGCACTCCTTACGGGTAACCTCCTCACGGCCACTGCTGACCTCACCCTCATTCACACGGGTGTCCTTCCCTCCTCCTCCCTGCAGTGTGCTGTTGTCCCGTCCCCACCACCCCACTACCACATTACAGGGGTACTTGTCTATATCCCACTAATATCCTCACCCCCTCCCCACGAGTGTTTTCGCCCCCATCCCTCACTAGTGACCTCACCCAATCCCCACATTAGTCCTTGCCCCTTTGTCATAGGTATCCTTGTCCCCATTCTGACTGGTGACCTCAACCACTTACCAGGAGTGTCCTCCCCTCCTCCCCAGAGTGCCCCCTCCACTTCATATAGGTATACTTGCCCCTCTCCTCACAGACGTCCTCCCCTCCTCCCCACACTGTCCTCCACCCCTTTATGTGCATACTTGCCCATAACCCCACAGGTGTCTTCACTTCCCACCACTGTCTTCTGTTCCATCCCCACAGCCATCTTCACCCACACTCCCCACTGGTGTCCTCACCGTGTCCCCACAGGTGGCCTTGTGTGTCTCCCCATGATCGCCCATGCTCTCATCCCCACAGCCACTCTTGCCCCCTGCCCACACCCCCCATGCCCACCGCCCTCACCACCCCAGGTTCCACGGCTGCACTCACAACTCTCCTGGAGATCACATCTGAAAGGTTCATGGTGGAGCCAGCATTCCCGGGGTGGGTGTGTAGAACCCCCATCCTCTGAGAAGTTCCCAACAGCTGAGGTGGGCATTACGAGGGCCCTGGGGAAGTGGCTCTGGCCAGCCCTCCGGAGGTTGCACAAGCTCCTCTGGGAAAGAGGGGACGGATGGAGGACTCTACTGCACTGTGTCAAGACTTGCACTTACAAGGATACAGCAAGGTCAGGCTCATTAACCAAAAACTCATCACCTTTCCAGAGGCAGCAGGACTACAAGGAAATTAGCTGGAAATGGTGAATGGAGAGGACAGGGGGTGGTCAGGGAGTGACTGATTGTCATTCCCAAAGAACTTTGAATTGACTGGTGTTATAAATGAGAGACAAAAGTCTCGATATTTAGCAAAATTTAGATTGTTTTATTTGATATAGAAAGAGCAAGCAGCGCACTGGGGAACGTGAGGGGTCACTGCCTACTCCGTGCTCCACCGTTCGGTTTGCAGCCTCTTATTATACTGTGGTTTTTTATTGTAGTCAACAATTTTTTGGATTTTTGTTGTCATAAGCAGTGGTGGTTGAATAAACATCCTTATACAAAGCTTTTGGGTGATAATCAGTCACAGCCATCTGGTCCTTGTAGATAACTACCAGAGAAGTTCTGGGAGTCTGGTCCTTGAGATAGGCAGTATTGATTAGACAAAGGTAGAAAGGGCTTTTTGGGAAGTCTGATTTTGCAAGCTGGTAGCTGATACAACTCATTGGGAAAACATAACATAACATATTATAATGTAACATAATACAACATAATATAACATAACAAGGTGATTTTAAACAGAATTATTTTATTATATAATTTCCATTATCTAATGTCCATGCTTCACTTCAGAGCTTAGTATTCTGGTTTATACAAACCCTAATTGTGATTAACACGAATCTTTTATCAATTATCACACTGGGAAGGGAGTGTGACACAAAGCTCAGAGGAATAAAGCAGGTCTTGGCTCAGGATATGCAGTGAAAGGTTCCCATTCTCAGGGCAGACAAATTTGCAGGTTTCCATGGTGCCAGATGGGGACCAGGACTTTAGCATGAGGGGGACCATGGACCAATTAAAGAGGAGGCTGTGAAAGACCCTTACTCTGCTGCTGAAATTTCTCTATCCTGTAGCTATGGGTGAACAAAGAAAAGTGATGGGGATGTCTCTCCCAGGAGGCAGCATGGAAGGGCAGAAACAGGGGCATCAGGATGGCAGAGGGAAGCAATTGCTGCCAAGTGCTCGTGGATCCATGCCCTATGGAACCTAGGGCAGGGCTGAACTGTGCCATAGGATCGGAGGGACTAAGCAAGGCTGAAGGATGCACCTCTAGCTGCTGCTTTTCTTCTGTAACAGATGGGGAAGAAGGTGGTAGGAAAAAGCCAAACCAAACACAACTGGTGGATTGAGGAAAGACTTTCTCTCTCCATGTCCTTTCTTTTCTGCAGAATGGGATAGTTACACTGCAAAGGCAGGAAAACCTGTCCATTCAATCTGACCCAGAACAATCCCTGCTCCAACAAGGACTGATCCTCTCCTTTCATGGATACAGCAAAGGTGATGCATAACATAAGACCTTCCTTTGTGCTCATCTCCCCAGCTGTCTGAGATCACACAGACTCTCCTTTTTCCTATTTTCTCCAAGGTCCAGCTAGGCATTTGGAAATACACCTATAAATTATTGTAAATGAAGGTTCTGGCTAAGTATCTGCCAGCAGCTCGTTGACACGCATATGCTGCAGAGTTATTATCTATGCAACACACATAGCTAATAAAAATGATCATTAAATTAACACCCACACTTTCCCATATCTTAAGATGACACTCCTGGTTGATGCAGAATCTCTTCAAACAGCTGGAGGTTGCTGCATTCCCTGTAGACTCTTTCTCCAGGCTTTAGAGAAAGAGTCCTCCTCCAAATACCTTCTTAGAAAGCCCATTGTGTTCATCCTCTGTCAGAGCCCTGCCTTGGCACCATCTGTTAATATTTGGGGAAGAACCAGGGGTGAGATCTTGCTGTCAGAGTGCAAGGAAGAAGCCTGTCATTTTAGAAAGGGAGGAACTTAAGCGTGCAGAATGGGAAAGGGAAGCATAAATTGTGTGAGAGGAGTGAGAAAACATCTGCTACTGTGTGAGTCAGTGTTGGATTTGCAGACAGAGGAAGAAAGCTTTGCTAATGAGGTCTGAAGCCTCCTTTTTGGCTGGCTCAGGCTCCAGCAGCTGAATGCGTTTCCCCTGGAGCCAGGAGCAGAGGGCACTGTCACTGAGCAGATTGACAGGAAAGCAGATGCTGTGAGAGGAAGCTATCTCAGCAAGCAACAGGCACAAGAACCATTCAGAGCTTGAAAGGGCAGAAAAAGAATATAACCCCTGTGTTATCAAACATCACAGTGGGCTCTTTCTCGATGCATCTGAAATAAACCTGCACTCACCGTCCAGGCTTCTCTCCACTGACAAGGTGCAGCACCAAACCATGGCATGACCAGGGTGGGAAGAGAGCTCTGGGGCTCTCTTGTCCCCTCACTCTGAGCAGGATGTCAATCAGCTGCTCAGCACCCTGTCCCATACACAGCCATCTGTCTCACAGAATGGGATTGCCCACCATTTGCATTTTGGCCTCTCACTCTATCACTCTGCACCTCTGAGTCTGTGCCCTCCTATGAGGTAGTGAAGAAAACAAGGAGGTCTCCATTTAGCCTTTCCCTGAAACCTAAAAAGCAGCTCCTCTCACCCTCTTCTCCTATATCAGGTGTCTGAGCTCCTTCAGTCTTTCTGGTGGCTTTCTCTGGACTTGATCCAGCATATTAGTGTCTTTCCTGTATTTGGGAATCTGAAACCAGACACAGTTGCAGGCCCAAAGCAGAAACCTACCTGTTCTGGACACCCTTCTTAGCTAGTCTCTGTTCTATCAGATCAATATGCCCCAAGAGACTGGGCTCATGGTAAAATAATATGTAATTCATATGCCAGGACTTCAGGTTTCTTGAAGTTGTGGGACCTGAAAGTCCTCTTTCTCCTTTCAGAGAAAGGGATGAGAGCAGGAGAATGCCAGTTTGGATCCTCCCAGCCCAACATCCTGCCTCCTACATTTGGGCAGCAGCCAGAGCAGAGCAAAGGGTGTGAGATCAGGGCACGCATGAACTGAATATTCTTATGCAGTTCAAATATTTCTTGAACTGAAGGTAATACCTTCATACTGCATAAACCTCAGGGGATTTTCTTTCCACAGATTTGTCCTGTGGATTTTATTAATCCTTGTTGACATTGAACAGCCACAGCCATGGGAGTAGCCTTAAGTCAAGGGGAGAGAGGAAGCATCTCCCTTTCACTTATTTTACCTTCTGCTAATTTGACTTGTTCTCCTTGACCCTCTCAGCTGTATGTACCTCAGTCATGGGCATCTCAGTAGTTTCGTCCAGGCTGAAGAGTCCCAGTCCACAAAGTTACCCTTCATGCAGGAGTCAGCCTAGACTTTCGTTTGTCCTTGTTGCTCTTCTCTGAGTTCCACGTTTGGGTTTTTTGAGGGTCTGCTGTTTTCTGTTTGAGATGGATTATTTCTAAGTGACATTAGCTCACACAGACCCCACTGCTGCCTATTGAAAATGAGTGTTGTGGTTTCCCCCATTGATGATGTTACATTTGTTTTATGCTATTTCATCTGCTATTTCACTGCCTGGTGAAGGTGAGGCCTTCAGTCAGCCCTCTGGGACCACCTTTCTCCATAGGAGAAGGACCTAGGACCACATCCAAGTGTCTTAGGAGGTCCATCTCCTTTGCATTTGTCAAGATCAAGTATCCTCTCCAGTATCACAAATCCTGCCTGTTGTGTCACCTTGTATAGGTGACACTTGAATAGGTGAGTCCGTGTGTCTGTGCATACCCTGGTGCCAGTCCCTATCCAAAGTCACATTCCAGATCACAGTATTTGCTGAGGAAAACGAGGAGTGTCCTGCACCAGCTGATCTGTCACCTGCCCCACTGCTTGCTGCCACATATGCTGCCTCTCCTGCTCAGGGAGGATCAGCTCTAATCATGTTGTATTTCCTGGAATGGAGCAATTTGCCATCATCTCCCCGCTTCTGCTGCAATCACTGCTGTGCAGTCATGGGCAGGCAGCTAATCCACAGAGAATCTGCTCCATCCATCATTCCAGTGCTGGAGGGATGTGGTGCCACCAGTGGCGTGTCTGCAGTGCATGATGCAACAACTTGACAGGCAAGAGAAAGGTAGAACAAGAAAATAATTCTATTTTATTACTCATTATATTTTCATTTGGTATCAAATCACTGCTAGTAATGGTTTGTGACATGTATACACATTTTACATCTCCATTTTGTGCTGTCTTTTTTTATGGAGACTGAATAAATACCATCACAGACTTTCTCTTGGGCAGTCTGGTATAAAAAAACAGGCTGCCAAGTCATGAGACCCTGATGGGAGGATGTGACTGCCATGCCCACACTGAGTGGTGTAGCTAGCCAGGGTGGGAGTCTTGTGCCTGCAAGGAAGTGAGGGATGTTGTAGCTGATCCTGATAGATCACAGAATCATGGAATAACCTGAGCTGGAAGGGATCCACAAAGACTATCGAGTCCAACTGCTGGCCCTGCACACGACAGCCTAACAATCTGACCTTGTGCCTGAGAGCATTGTCCAAAAGCTCCTGGAGCTCTGGCAGCCTTGGGGCCATAACCGTTCCCTGGAGAGTGTGTTCAGTGCCCGACCATTTTCCAGGGAAGAACCTTTTCCTGATATCCAGCGTAAACCTGACACAATTTCAATGCTGCACCATCAGGTTCTGTCAGTGGTCACCAGGGAGATCTTTGAGGTGTGAGAAATGCCCTTGGTGGAGAGGTTATTATAAGGAAAAGTTCACTTTTTCCTCAAAAGCTGGACTCGAGATGGCAGCGATGGCAAGAGGAGGAAGACGAGAAGGAGGAGGAGGAGGCCGGGCAGTGGCCTCTGCGTCACGATTGACGGCGGCATGTGTGGAGCGTCTATAAACGGCGGCGGTGAGTGACAGGGAGGGCAGTGACAGCCGCGGGGCAGGGCAGCTGCACTCCGGCCATGAGCTCGACCCGCAGGGCCCTGCCGGGCCTCTACGGGCGGGGAACGAGCCACATTGACGGGGTGGAGGAGGCCGAGAGCGCAGCCTGGGCCTCGCGGCCGGACCGACGGAGTTACCTGCTGGGCATCCGGCCCCAGAACAGGTGAGCGCCGGCAGAGGGGAAGGCGCTGCTGTGGGTGCTATCCCCGAGGTTGTTGCTCCCGTGGATGCGGGTGACAGAGGGTGCGGGGCTTGTGGGGGACACGCCGGCAACAGGCGGGGGACGGAGGCGTAGGGGAGGCGAGCTGCGCCGGCCGGGGGTGCAGTGAGGAGGGCGGGCTGGCCCTCACCCAAGCCACCAGGCTACACCGGCCTCAGAGGGAGCATGAGGCCAGCCAGTTGGCAGTGGTATAGCCAATGGGCCTGGCCATCCCTGGGGAACTGCTCCAGGGGAGAAAACCAAGTTTTCTTGGCTCGGGCTCTCCAGAGGAGCTGGTGTGCTGTAGACCAGTCCCTCACCACCCCAAAGAAAGCTGAGGCTGTCGCAGCTATTGCTGGGCAGGCCCTGTCGGCACTGCACTTTGTGTATAGCTGAGCGCGTGTGTGAAGTGATCATAGAATAGAATCATGGAATATCCTATCCACAAGGATCATCGAGACCAGCTCCTGTCCGTTCACAGGACACCCCAACAGTCCCATGCTGCACCTGAGCTGGTTGTCCAAACGCTCCTGGAGCTCTGGCAGGCTTGGGGCCATGACTGATGCCCTGTGGAGCCTATTCTGGTGACCCACCACCTTCTGAGTGAAGGACCCTTTCTTAATATCCAATAATCTAATCTTTTTTAACCCCCCTTGTACAGCTTCATGCTGGTCCCTCAGGTCTTATCGCTGGTCACCAGAGACCAGAGATTGATATCAGTGCTGCCTCTCCTCTTTCCTGTATGAGAAAACTGCAGACCCCAGTGAAGTCTCAGTCCAAGCCATCTGTATGAAATCCTGACAAACATGAATGTCTCCAGTTAAACTCGGGGAACAGCACTGACCTTCCTGCCTTCATTGTAGTGAAGCAGCTCACCAGACAGAGCGAGGGGCCCACTGGGCTCCATGCGCGAGTGCCTTATCTTATTGCCAAAAAGGCATTTCTACACTGTAGATAAGGGCTGAGCAGCAGTGAGATCAGCATTCCTGGGTCAGAATGGCCTCCAGCACAGGGTCTGGGGTAGGAATAAGGCTTTGTTTGCAGGGAGAGGGTATAATAAACATGCTGTCAGCTGAGCCTGACTGAGGTTAGCAAACAGAAAATTACAGGGTGATGTGCCAGCAGTGCCCAAGGTGTCGGTGATTGTGTGAGGCATTCACAAAAGCCTTGAAATTGCTTTGAATTCACTGGGAATGCTCTTCAGTCTATGAGGTCTCCAAATAAGTGTGCCTCTTCCCTGCTGATGGTTTATAAATAATCCATTTCCAGCATGTCAAGCATTGATGTCTCAAGGAGTCAGACATTCATAAAAATAAATACAGGACCAAAAGAGATTAAAGAAGTGCTGCTTGGAAGTCAGGTGTTAAAACTGGGGTAACGCCAAAGTGAAGCCTAAATTCAGTTCCTTTGTGGTGGTATCATGTTGTGCTTGGGTGTGAGCTAATTGCACACCGTGACATCTTCAGCACCACCAAATGCCTGTACAGGGTCCATAGCCTGTGGCCTCAGATCGTACTATGAACTGGAAATCTCATAACTGAGCCCAGTGACTCTATTCTGCAGATTACAAGCAGAGAGAGGCTTTAATAAAGAAGATGTGGAGGTGTTTGGGTTGCCTACAGCTTAACTTCTATTTTCCTTGACTATACTCAAATTGCAGTTTTAATCAGTTTAACCATAAAGGAGGGTTCATCCGTCCTGCAGGTCATACCTTCAGTGTTCCCACCTAGATTCCCAAAGTTTCCTCTGTTGAGGAAGGCATGGAGCAGTGTAGCACCCATGCATGCAGTGCACGTGGTATCTTCTGGCTGCACCAGCACTTGAGTCTGTGGCTCAGGCATGGTAAATCTGGCCCATGGCTGCAGAGCAGTGAGCCCTGAACCTCTTGAGCTTGTCAACCTAAAGATGCTGTGGCTGCACCCGAATTTCCATCCATGGGAGCCCGGTGCTGGCAAAGGGACTCTGTGCTGCCCCACTTATTAGCAGCACATTCAATTTCCACAAATTCTCCAATCATTTTTCCAACCTCTTAGGTACATGATCATCAAAGCCTGTGGCAAGGCAATTTCATTTTGTATCTTAACTCCACTGTCTGCCTCTTCTGTTGTAAGAAACAGTGACTAAATAATCACAAAATGGCAAAATTGACCTTTCCCTGAGTTCATGGCAACTTCTACATTCCCTAATGAGTTAGGGAGGAGGTATATAAAAGTCTGGTTCCCTGCAGAGCCCTACAAGTGCTGAAGACTTGAGCCAAGATTTTTGGAAACTGTTGTTTAAGATGCAGGGCAAGGGCCTGAATGAAGTGGGGCTTTTTATGTTGTAATTAAATAATGTATCATAACAATTCTGGAAAGCAAGTGAGTGGAATGGTGTAGCAAGGAGACTTTCAGAAAGCAATTATGACTTTAATTAAATCCAGGAACATCTGGAAAGCTTGCCTGGAAGAACTATGATGAGCAACATACAGAACAGCAGATAACACTGGGCAGCTCTCTTTAGCACAGAATAGATTTGGATTTGCTGGGTTTGAAGCTAACAAAGGCAGTGGGACAAGTGATGTAGACGCAGGATTGCTGTGGGAGGCTGCTGTAGAGGTTAGAAAACAAAAATGGATATTCTGATCCAAAGAAAATGTGGTTTTTTTTCAGGTTTCTCTGTTTCTGTCTTTATATGTATATATATGGAGTATATTTAACCAAAATATTTCCCTGTTCTCTTCACTGCTTCTTTAGAGCAGTAGAAAGTGTAATAACATGGTAGAGGTACATGAAGACATGGAGAGATCTTTAAGAAAAGAAACTGAGGTTGGAAATCCCTGCTTCTGGGGTGACTTATGAACACATTCTGCTCTGTGGTTCCCAGCGCAGGAATGGAGCAATTGGAACGAGTCCAGAGGAGGCATTAAGATTGTCAGAGGGATGGAGCACCTCTGCTATGAGAAAAGGCAGGAACTGTTCAACCTGGAGAAACTTTTAGGTAACCTAATTGTGGCCTTCCAGGACCTGTAGGCAACCTAAAAGAAGGATGGAGAGAGGCTCTTTACAAGAGCTTGGAATGACAGGACAAGGGGAGATGGCTTCAAACTGCTAGTGGGCAGGGTTAGTTGGGTTATTAGAATGAAATTCTTCCCAAGTGGGAGAAGGAGCTGTCAGTCTTGTCCAGGGACTGCCTTAGCTCCATTCATGGGCCACAACTCTCAAGACATCTTTTTAGGTATCCTTTTTGTAAGAACTAGTGAGTCTGGAGAGTGTATTGTGCAGAGATGAAATTTTATATGAAACCTTCATCTGAGTGCTAGGCAAACCTCTCTGCTGGAAGCAATCTGTGCCTCTTACCTCATACAGATGTCTGCTCTTCAGTCTCATTAGAGCATTGCTTCCTTGCTTGAATATCTTTCTACTGTCATAGCTGCATCATATACAGATATTAATAGAGTGTATTGGCATTGCCTCTGATCTTTTCTTGGATAACTCTGCTCGGGGTGGCAGTTGAGCTCAGCCTTGCCACCTGGCTCTTCGGCTAGAAACCATTCCCAATCTTGTCCTTCTTGCTTTGCACATAATATCAAATGAAGGAGAAAGCTCTGTTGCTATAATAAAGTGTGCAGGAAACTGAGGAGCACTTGGTTCCTGAAAAGCAGGTTTAGTTCAATCGAGTTCCCTCTTTAGCAGTAGGGCACCTGTAATGTTCAACAGGACTTTTGGCAAAGAGTGGTGTAACCCTCTGGTCAGATGCCAGCTGAGGCACCTGAGAGCACTCAGTCACTTTGATTTGTGGGGTGGAAGTATCTCAAACTCTGGAAGGAGGGACAGTCAGTACCAGCTGGAAAGGCAAAGCTAAAGGCGTCAATGACTCATCTCCACACCCTGTGACCTGTAGGACAGAGGTGTCTGTTTCCCATTGCTATAACTACCTGCACAGGAGTGTCTGGTTTGAGTGGGGCTCCTCGGCAGTTGTGCGCTCTGAAAACAGTCCTCAGCAATTCCAAAGGGAGATTTTTCAGCTCCCTTTCTGTAGCCTCCTGCCCATATGTCCATATCATCTAGAAAGCCAAGTGTGTAGGCTGATGAGCCCATGCCCTTCAGGGCCACTATTGAGATTCAGAGTATATCACATGTGAGAGCTGTGCTCTTCTCAGGAAACCTCATAAAAGGAGATGTTTTCCAGGCCAAGGATACCATTGTGTGGAGGGGAGAGTATGGTCGTTTCCAAACAAGACGCTTCTCATGCCATAGCAGAGGCAGTTCCCAGGAGATGGAATTAAAGCCTTCTCTACCCTCTCTCTCTTTCGACGAGGGGAGGAAGATCCTGAGTGAATGAGGTTGTTATCTCACACTGACTCAGTCTCACGTTTCACAGCATTGCCTGGTCCAAGAAGAGGAAGATGGGAGGGCTGTTACAGGCAATTTTATTTTCATTTTTTTTCTTTTCTCTGTGTAGTCAACTGCCAGGAGGATGTCACCTTTCCTGGGCATCTCGTTATCCAATATTTACTTTGCATTTTTTTTGCCATTTCTCATTTCTTGGTGTGTTTCTAAGCTTAATTTGGGCCATAGAGGCAGCAATAATTCAGAGTTAAAACACACAAATATGAGCCATCTTCAGAGTATTACAGAGGCTGATGCAGGAATGTGTAACTTAATTTATTGTTTTCCACCTTCTCTGTTAATGAAATCTAGCCTGAATTGTTACACACGAGTCTGTGTTCATCTAAGCAGAAAATAAGTTACCTGCAGAAAAAATTGCCATATTTCTGCATCTCTGACATCGATTTGGTCTGTGACCTTGACAAGCAAAAGCTCAATATATCTGTTTTCCAGTTTGTGAAATAACAATGTGTCTTGTACAGCAACACAACACTCAGAGCTGCTTTATCACAGGCCTACTGATAGCTTCTGGCATGGTATATGAGCACCAGCACACTTGTTCTGCATGTGCAGGGAGTGCTTGATAAGGAGAGG